TAATGTGGAGTTGGGTGTAAATGTGAGGTGGAATTTTTGGGGTCCTTTTTTAATCCTTTTGTATGCATTCCGATGATTTTTCTCTAGTATGGTCATTATCATGGAAATTCCTGACAAATACTACAGCAAGAGCTGACTGCAAACTCTGTAAATATTTTTAAATGTTTAAGGTTGGGCTTTTTTCAGAGGAACAGGAAGAAAAACATGTTGGTGTAATCAGCATTTCTGAATGAAGTTATCTTATTCTGTAGTCCTGTAAAAGCAATTTAAATTCCAATCAGCTCAATCCAGATAGTGATAGGACAAGGGGGAGTGGTTTTAAACTAAAAGAGAAGAGGAAGAATCTTTACTATGAGAGTGGTGAGGCACTGGTATAGGCAACCCAGAGAAGCTGTGGATCCCCCATCCCTGGAAGTGTTCAAGACCAGGCTGAATGGGGCCCTGAGCAACCTGATCTAGTGGGTGGCATCCCTGCCCACAGCAGGAGGGGTTGGAACTTCCAACCCAAGTTCATGTCTTAATCTCAGAGATGTCTAAAAGAGTATTAAATTCACAAACATATTTACCTTGCTTCCTTTTCCAGCAAGACCTTTGTAAGTGTGGTTTTACTCACTTGCATTTGAATCCACATATTCAACCCCTTCATGGGGCTCAGTATTTCTGCTTTGGCAGTTGCTACATGCAAATGTTAGATCTAGACATTACTGAGCATACATCATTAAAATATCAGGGAACAATTCCTCCCTTCCTTGTTATTTCAGCAATATATCCTGTAGTTGAATGATTGTATCATAGCATCAGCTCTTACAGTTAAGAGAGAAGTAAAAATCCACCCTTTTAAAATTCCCACTGTCTTTATTTTTTGCTTACAACAAAGTTAACTGCTGAATGCCACTCATCAGATGGTAAGAAGACTGTCTAGCTTGAATTAATTTCTCTCTTTGGAATACGGTGTATCCATGTTCTCTGGTATATACTAACACATTACTGTATTGTAATTATAATACTGATTTTATGCCATTCATATAAACAGCTTCTGAGAGAATGGTTGGAAAAGGATCTGGAAAGTTGCAAAATTTAATATTAGAAGTTTTGCCCTTTGAACAGTGACCTCAATGGGATAAAAACTTCCATTTCCTCCACTGTAAAAATCAAGGCAAGTAAGTGTTGGGTAGCTGTGGACAGTCTTTACAGTTCTGTATGTCAAGAATGACAACTGTTTGTGCATTAAAAGTTTTCTTGAATTCTCCTCTAGACAAATCTTACAGAAGTTTTTTTACATTACTGCAAACAAGACATTTTCAAGGTATCCTCACTTCCCATCTGTTATATAAAACTTAAACTGCAGTGACAACTTTGCAATACACTTACAGATCCGGGACTTCATATATACTTATTGCAAAGTTTAATGCTCCCTTCAGTACTGGCACTTCAACACACATCTGTTTGAGTTATTTACAGACTTATATAGCTGTTTTCCTTAATTCCAAGCATGCTGGTTTTGGTACTCAGCAAGTTGCAGGGAAAATTTTCACTGACCAAACAAGTCTCTTTTTTGAGTTTAGCTTACTGGTGCAAATTTTAAAGGTTTTGACTTAAAACAACAGGAAAATGTAGATCACTTCCTAAATGTTAAATTGACCACTGAAATGGAGTAGTTGTGCAAAAAGATTAATGAACTGTTCCTGCAGATTTTCCAGTCAAAGATTGGATGTTAGCAGGCTTCTGGCTGTCCTTTTTAATGAAGGAGTTCCCCAGTTAAAATTATAAATAATTTTAGAACAGCCTACTCTCACACAATTAGTGCATTTTGATTGTCCTGAAATAACAGAACTGGCTCCTTCATCAGCTATGCAATTTGTGCCTCTACAGAAGTAACTAGCACCTGAACAGAAAACAGTGAAATTTTTAGAGCCCTTTTAGTATCACACATTACTTCATTAGAGCATTTACAGCAGAGCAGCCTCAGTTGTACAAGGAGCCTTTTGCTTATTGGAGTTCAGACTGAGAGAAGAATCTTTGGCCCTTCTTGGGAAGGTGGGAAGAGGAAGGAGATGTAATGTCAACTTTATAGTGCTTTAGTTGGAGCTAATGGTTTTGGACAGTGTGCTTCTCTCTTTGGTACAGTTCCTATCCCTGTGTTGACTGACATTAACAGCACAATTCAATTGTCCCATTCCAAGTTGCTGGTGGCATTTAAGGAGCATTAGTGTGCTCAGAACATCCACGTGGCACATGCAGAGTGAGAGCTGTGCTTGGAGCTGCCTGCTGGATACCACTAGGAATGTTCAAGGGCATTTTGCTTCGTGCCCTAGGTGGTATTCTCACTAGATGCCGGTATGTAGGCACCAAATAATTCTGGCAGAAATGATTGTGAGGTGATCATACACTTGGTAATGCAAATGAAGCCTTTTTTATAGTTTCTTCTTTTGCCAACTTTGAGAAACCAGCATGTGAAAATAGACATCTTTCAGTATAGGGAGAGTTAATTTGTGTTGCTATGACAGATTTGTAGTCTATATTTGGTCTTAGACCTAATATTCTGTCTTATAGATTAAATATATTTTTACAGTAAGCATGCTGAATTCAAATGTTTCAATATAACATTTTCATCTTAGAAAAAAATCATTTTTCTTCAACTACTTGTTTGTTTTAAGTTCTGAATTGGTTGCTGACCTTCTTCCTTATAATCTTTTTCTGTTGTGAACATGTTCCAGACTATGAGATGAAAAATAAATAAAAAGCCCTTATCATATAATTATTTTCTATAACTTGTGCTTAGATAGGTCTTACTATGAATCTGGAATTGAGATTTCCATATGTATTTAAGAACAGCTTTTAACCTGGACCAATGGAAATCACTTATTCTGTAACTGAGGTATCTAAACTAGTGGTTTCTGAAAAAAAATAGTATCCAATGATCAAATGGTTCTGATGATAGCTTTTCTTTTTCTCTTGGAATCTTTTCCAGTGTAGTCTTCCCTCTGTTGCTACCTTTCAGTTTAAAAGAAATTTTCCATCTGAGGCTCTAAAGTTCCCTAGCTGAGGATTTCAAAAATGCCTTGCCTCTCTGAACTAAGCTTCCTCAAAATGCTGATTTACCTCATGATACTGGCAACATTCAGGGAATGTTAGTAGTCTGTGATTTGCACTTTCCCTTTTCTTGGATAAGGCATTCCTCATCGGGCAGCTGGACCACCTGCTGCTCTGTGGCCATTTGGGCAGCTCACATGGGAGTGGTTGTCACAGAATCACAGAATATTCTGAGGAATATTGGAAGGGACCCACAAGGATCATCAAATCCAGCTCTTAAATGAACGACCTGTACAGGGATCGAACCCATGACCTTGGCATTATTAGCGCTATGCTCTGACCAACTGAGCTAATCTTACATCAGTCCAGGCAGTTCTTGGAAATGAGGAGAAGGGGAAATAGGGTAACTGCAAGGACTCTTGGAAAGTGCTGATGGGTAGAGCTGGGCTTTTACAATGAAACGAGGTGTTCACCCCGTTACAGACATTATTTGTTGTGCTGGTGGTGATTTTACCTAGAGAGTAAAACATTGCTGTCTTTAGACTTCCTAAATTTTTGGAAGTCTGAAGTTGGAAGGAATTTTTGATACCCCATAGCGCTCTTATTTTAAGCTGCCTCATCAACTGGACTGCTGAACCAATGATAAGATAGCAGAAGTTGTTACATACAGGATTCATAGAAAGTGACAGACATTGACTCCTGGTGTCACAGATTCAAGGTAACATTTTCCTCTATGAAATAAAACTTGTAACATAGTTAAGGTAATTCTGCAGCTGTGAACAGGAATTGTGGCTCAAATGCAGAGGAGGGGAAGGAAAGGTTAGTTCAGGGAGGTTTTTTGGGGTTATTTTTCATATGTAGCATTCCAGTGAAAGGTTCTAGGCTGGAACTCTGCAAATGAAAATCTGTTGTCCATAAGCACCTACTTCTTCCACTCACATAAGGAAGCACTTCAATTGTGGTAGAAGAGCTGGGTATCTTTGCAGGCACTTTGGCAAAGATGATAAAGAGTAAAACAAGGGTTAGGGATTTTGGGAGGGATTTTGGGCTTATATTTCCCCAATTCTGGTTGAAAATGAGAGACTGGATGCAGGATCTTGAGCACATTTATCATTAGGACAAGTCACCCTGTAGCAATGTTTTTACATTTGAATAGCAGTATTGGAAATAAAGACTTTAATTTGGTTTAATTGCTAAGTTTGAGTTGTTTCCTAACTCTGTTGTTACTTTACCTATTATCTTTGCTTCTCTCCCCTATTTGACATTCTTTTGGAAACTGACTACAAGGTAAATTCTTCTTTACTGAATTTAAATGCTTTTAAATAAATTTCTCTTGTTACAGGTCATCTGGGGGATTTTTTTAGTGATATGATATATCACCGTTCTTGAGAAACAGTTTTCTAAACTCTCATTGTATATACTTTACCCAAAAAAGTCCCTCTGCAGGCATTGTTCACTACCTTTATAAAAGCTATAATTTTTTAGGGTAAAAAACCCAAAGTCTTCATAACTTCATTAAATAGGTTGGTGGCTTGTAACAAAGTTATTATATGTATTTCAAAAGCTTGAATCTGTAAAACTAGAAGTATTTCAACAGCAAACTCTTTTATAATATCTGTTAAGATGGAGGTTGAAAGGTTTTTTCTGAAACAGATAATAAAACCTGAGTAATTTCAGATGTCCCCAAGAGGCTGTCCAATGTATCAGTCTTGAAACTTGATATGTTAAAGACTGAAGTTGTTTTTATCAAATATTTAACATCCTAGAATTCTTTCTAAATGACCATTTTTGGAAATACTCATTAATTTTTCCAATGTGCTCTTATTCTGTAATAGTTTATTTCATTTATAATCTGAAATCTTTTTGAAGGTGTATTGAAACACAGAATACCAAGAGATTTAAGTCATCTGTGGAGGACTATGTGATTTCATGGTACTTGACTGTGAAATGTGTATTTATCTATTTAGGTTCAAACAAAGAAGGAAGAAACTTTGCCACCATCACATAGTCAAAACATTCCAACTTTTTATTTTCCTCGAGGATGTCCTAAGGAAAAAGTGAATATAGATGCTGTGATTGCCAAAATTGAGAAAACTTTTTCTGAATTTCCAAATGAGAGGGCAACGTTAGAAGACATGGGTAAGGTTGCAAAGGTGAGAACTTGCTGGCCATCTTCTTTTCGTACTGTACTCCTATGGAAAGGCAAGAAATGAGTTCTGTGTGCTTGGTTTTCTTGTGTGTTTCCATCTCCCAAACATTAGTATTTAATGATATTCTACATTGTTGATAACAGAGTTATGTGGAATTTTCTGCATTAACTGTCTATCAGATGGCCTTAATAAAATAAATAAAACATTAAAACAAAACTTGAACTACTTTTTTTGCTGCATAAACAACCACATACTAAAGAACAGCATTGTATGTTGTTCTCCATTCTGTATTGACCAAGAGAGTTAAGGCAAAAGCATTCCTAATATATGTTTTGTTTTTAGATGTTCACGCAGGTTGGGGTTTTTTTCTCATTCTGCTCAACCTCCATTGCAAAGACACTGGTAAAGACAGCATGGTATGGTAACTTGAGATTATAGCTCTCAAGATATTCCTGAAGAGGTTCTTTAGAGTTATGGCAGAGTGACAAAATACTTAGCTTAGAAAGCAGCAAATATTTTTTAAACTTCTGTGTAAATTTAAAGACAATAAGCTAGTTAAAATGAAGTTAATTTTCCATTTTGTTATATTGAATTAATGCTTGAAATCTCACTGCAAGTCATGGTCTTGCTAATGAGTCTCAGGTTCTCATCCACATTCCTGTCACTTTGTCCAGGGTCTAGAAAATAGAAACTGTGACTGCTAACAATAGCAGGACTGGGGGTTTGCCTCACCAAAACTTTTTTACTGCTAAGCTGAATGATAGGATCCCTGTCTTCCACAGGTCCTTCCAACACAGAAGTGAGGAGGTAGAGAAGAGACCCTTCTCTCTCAGCAAGGAAGCTGAAAGGGTCTAGTCACCTATAATTCAGTGATGAAAGACACCTTCCTGAAGAATACTGTCTGAGCACAGTATTCATCAAAAAATTCTTTTAATTTGTTTGAAGTACTAGTTAAGCTATTACATGAGAAGTAATGGTACTTTTGCTCCAGTCACCTTACACATGATTACACATTACACAGTATTCACAGTGTTTTTGGAGATCCTTGGGGATGCCAGCATGTGTGACTGCTCCCAGCTGGAGTCAGTTTTAGGCAGATTGGGCTCTTGGCTGTTAGGGCCGCGGACACTTGGGCTTTAGGTGCATGTGGTCACACTGGAGTTGGGAATGTGTAGCTATTGAGTACCCTAAAACAAGATACTGCTGCTCAGGGCAGGCTGGCCTGCTACTTCAAACTGGATAGATGTGCCATGCACATGCAAAGGATGCAGATGAGTTGAGCCATCCTCTGAGCCGGACAAATGTCAATTTGTTCTAGTTCAGAAGGTCTGTAAGTGTGCTGTCTTGAGCTTAGCTTAAAGATATCCAGCTCTTGAGCAGAGCTTAAGATGGGCTCTGTTCAGCTGCTTGGAGCATGGACAGACAGACACGTGACTCACTGGATTAGTCTGTTAGGAATGCTACAAGTTGCCCTGTGTTTTGCTCTCCACTTTTGGATTTCAGCCTAAAGCAGTTGCTTTAAATGGATTATTTCAGAAGGTGAAGCTGGTTTCAGAAACTGTTTTTGAAAAAATCTCTTCCTTAATGCTTTCTTCTTAACACTTGTAATTTTTGAAGGATCTATAAATAAAAGAGTAGCCTTCAGATAAGCAATCAATAAACTGACTTGATGTACACTTTAATTGTAGGCTTGTGAATGCCCACTCTACTGGAAAGGTCCTTTGTTTTATTGTGCTGGAGGTGAACGAACAGGATACGTGTCAGTTCATAAATTTGTTGCAATGTGGCGGAAGTAAGTAGATTACTTTTATTAGAAGTACTGCATTTTTTTTCATTGAAATGTGATATTTTAAGCTCTGAATGTGATCTTGTCTTCTGAAGGGGAATAAAACACTTTCCCATAATCAACTATTGTCAGTAAGCTTGTACATGGGAAAATGTAACTAAATAACACTTTAATATAAACAAATCTTCATTTACAAGGTTTATCATTTTGAAAATGTTTGGGTGAATGACTGACAGTTCATGAGAAGTAAAAATCATGGTGGCCCTTACTTGTAGATGCCAGTTCTGAACAAAGTGCTTTTTATTTTTAGTTCTTTTCTAATTTTGACTTTAAATGGTCCTTTCATGTAATAGATTACATGATGTACCCATCTCCTTTAACATAAATTTAAGAGACACTACTGCTTTGATAAGTTCACTTGGAGCATGGTTTGACATTTGTAATGACCTTTTGAATAAATATTGTTTCATAGGCCTTGCTCTAGGATGCCTGCATGAGGTAGCATGAGCAATTTTCTGTGTAGAATACTAAATGGAAATATTTACATTTCAGAGTACTTCAGACCTGCTATGATGATGCTGCGAAGTTTGTTCATCTTCTGATGAACCCTGGATGTAACTACTTGGTGCAAGAAGACTTCATTCCTTTTTTACAAGTAAGTTGCAACTGAAATTATTTCTAGGAACACAACAAAATGATGAACTGGCAAAGCACTGAGTTGTTTGAACTAAATATACTTTTTCATGGTCATCATTAAAGTTTATTGATAATATTTAGTGCAACTGACTTTGCATGATCCACTAAGATGCTAGTGACTTGTTTTACAGTTAATAATTTTGTATAAGGTGAGGTGTTTTTTAATCACCATGGTAACATTTAAAACCAATTGTAGGAATAACATATGTGTTGGAATCTTTTATGTTTCATAAGGCAGTTAAAGTTATTTAAGTCATGGTAGCCCTTTGGATGGCAAAGGAAAAGTGGGATATGAATTCAAAACCGAGTAAGTCTTTGTTGGAAGAACAGCAAACACCATCTATAGAAATGACTGAATAAAACCTGAATTGACTTTACTGAATCATAGCCACAGAATTACAACCTACGACAGTCAGCAGTGTTCAAAATCCTCAGCCTATCTAAAATATAGTAAAAAAATCCTATTAAAAATCCTATTTCTAAAATACAGGAAAGCTTTTATTTATCTGATTTATTTAAAAGATAATTTTATTTTTACAAGGTTTGTAATGTGATTTGTCTGAAGCTTTGGTGAAAATGAAGTTATCAGTAATGATTGTAGTAATTAATTTAAACTGTTTTGGTTAAGGAAGGAGGTGTGCTATTCTTTGCTAATTGTCTTATATGGTCACTAATGAATACTCTTTGGAATATTGTTATTCCATTTTTTTTCTAGGATGTGGTGAATAGTCATCCAGGCCTTTCATTTTTAAAAGAAGCATCTGAATTCCATTCTCGGTATATTACAACAGTAAGTGATTTGTATCTGGAAAAGCTATTTTTTGTTTAACTAAGAAAATCAAACCTAAGATTAGTCAAATGTCTGAGCATCTTTGTCCCATGGGAAGAGTAGAGTTAGAGCAGGCTGTCAGTCTTCATTTCTACATAACTAGAAATTTTGTGGAAAAAGTATCTTTCTTAGGCCTGCTAGTTCTTAACATTTTTAAGGAATTGCAGAATTTAATACTAGTAAGAGAAGCAGTGAATTGTAATAGTGTCCAATAAGTTAATGAGCATTAAATGAAGAGCAGGCTGTTATCTTAAACACTTGATTGTGTCTGTAGACTGCACTCATTAGAATCCTGACCTTAATCTGGGATTAATTAAATGAAGTCTTGAATGAAACATCTATATTAATATGATTATGTTCAGTATTAAGTGAAATAATGATAATATTGAAGCTGCTTGCCACTTGTTTCTCTGGGGACTTTTCTTCCAAGGAAGGTTTTTGTACATGAAAAGTTTCATTCCGGTCTTCCCAGGGTTATGTGACTGAGGTATTTGTTCTGTACTCAAGGGAAAAATCAGTGACATTAAATTTTCTCAGCTGTAGACTAGACAGTCGATTCCACTGAAGTCTCAAAAGATTAAGATTCTTCAAAATGACATTTAGTTCACTTTCTTTGTGCATGTGAAAACTAGCTTAATGAATATTCTCCAACAAAAAAAAAAAAATGCATCATTGATCATCTTGTATCCATCTTATACTTTGACCCAGGTTAAAATTGTGGAAGTTTTGGGGTTTTTTTTGTTATTTTTTTTTGGGTTTTTTTGAGAGCATTTGGGTTTTGTTCATTACATCCTTCTTAGAGAGACTTCCTGGCCTATCAAGTATGTCCTGCTGCATTAGGTTTTGCATCTTGTTATAATGATTACCTGAGCTCACAGAACTTTCTTGTCAGTTGTGATTGAAGGAATTGTTCTATGTTTTGTTTCTTAATGGATTCTTGGTTGTGTCACAGCCTGCTCTGGTTAAAATTGTGAAAGCTTGCTGCGTGACCTGAAGAAGAGTAGGAAAGAAAAGGTCCTGCCATGTCCAGTTACTTTTCTTTGGAGGAACAGCTTACTGGAGTACGTCTGAGTCTAGCAATATTGAATAAATTAGTACTGGAAGTATTTTATTTACAAAATTTAGTGTAGCCTTCAACATAAATTTGTGTTTAATCAAAAAATTGGTGTTAAATCAAAAAGTAAACTAGTATCAAAAATATTTGGAATGCCATTCTGCAGATTAAGAAATGGCAGGACCCCTCTGCCTTTTTCTTGTCATATTTTAGGATGGTGTAACTGTTCACAGAATCACAGAATATTCTTAGTTGGGAGGGACCCATAAGAATCAAGTCTAACTCTTAAGTGAATGTTCCATATAGGGGTCAAACCCACAACCTTGACATTATTTGCACCATGCTTTGACCAACTGAGCTTGTTACAGCCTTCCAAAATTGTGTCCTGCAAGTTATTAATGATAATAATAGATTCCTTTACCTATGATGAAAGAAGCCATTTCATACCTGTATTCAGTTAGCTTAACCTTGCTACATGAAGCTTTATCTAAAGGATATGTCCAGCTGCAAACCAAATGAGCCGTTCTTCTGCTGGGTTTTTGTCTATACCCACATATATGTATGTGTGTATGCATACACATTACATACATCTCTTTAGCATGTGTTGTGTAAGCCATGAAAGCAATCTGTTCTGTCTGCTAAGATATGTTATAGGTTTGTTGGTCAGTCTAGTTACATATGACCAGGATAGAGCTGAAATAAGTTTAAAATGTTTGCTGTGACAAATGAGATACTACATTTATTCTTTCAGTTAGGTGCATATCTGAACTATGAGTTCTTGAAATTGTAGTCTCTCTATTGCACCATTTCTTCTCCCTTCTGACAAAGCACTCTGCAGAATAGTAAAGGCAATTCTCTGACAATTTCCTTGTACTCTGCATCAGTTTACTTTAGAAAACAGTTTAAGTCTGTTCCCAGTTGTCTTCACCAAACATTCAATTTTGTTTTTATTTTTAGACCAGTTAAATGTATAACAGATGAGATAATGACATGCAGATGGATTAAGTTGCAAAGCTAAGGCAAAAACCTTTTTAGAAAAAATTGCTTTGTAGTGTAAGCCAAAAAATGGGTCTTCCCTAAATTCACAATTATAATTAAGTTAATTAAGTTTCAGAAGCAGGATAATCTATTCTTCTGTCTGGAGTCATTGAACCAGCTGTTCTTGTTCAAAGTAAGAACTGAGGAGCTTGCTGCTCTACAGTTTAACTTCATCATTATTCTTCTATTTGTAATTTTAAAATGATTGGTTAGTTTAAACTATTGATTTACTGCAATTGAAGTCTGAAGTGATAAAAAGCTTAGCCTGTAGATGGGAGGACATTTTAATTGCAGGAAAGGGGTTCCTAAGGAGAGGAGATTTTAGTTAGTAACTGCTCTCTTGCAAATGAAACACTACACATGCAATACTGAGTCCTGCCGATTAGCAGGTATAATCAGTCACCAGTTGAGCAATTATAGTTCATAATATGCTTGGGATGTTTTTGGTTTGTTTTTTTGTTTTGTTTAGTGGTGAATGACTGACTTCAAATGTACACCTGGTGGTTGTCTTAAGTCAAACAAAATGAGGTGAATACTGAATTCAGTTAAGTAGCAGGAAAAATATATTTTAAAGTCTTATTTCAAGTATTTAGTTTGTAAACTAAATCTAAGAAAATTATAGTGACTGCATGAGTTGCCCAAAGTAGCCATAGAACCATTAGTTTGGAAAAGACCTGTAAGATCATTGAGTTGAAGTACATGTAAAATTTATTTTAAACAATGTGTTGGGTACTCGTATGGATGGTTCCACTATCAGTCATGGCACAAGAACTAGTAGTCTTTCTTGCATAGATTTTTTTTGTTTTGTTTTGTTCTTCACTTGGAAAATATTAATGTACTACTTTTAATGCTGTTAACGGGTTTTTTTTCAGGGAACTTCCAAATAGAATGAAGTTAAATGGGGAAAACCATTCTCTTTGCACCTGCAAGAAGTATTTCTGTCAGATGTAGATTTGTTGTGTTTGTAGAGTGCAGAAGTAGCAACATCTGCTGTACTCTGATCCTTAAACAGTACCAATTCTATTTCTGTAAATTCAATTATGAAGTAAAACAGTCTTATAGCAAATGCAGGTCTTTAAATCTGAAGTAATAAGATACATTAATAGGTTCATTAAACTCTATCCTGTAGATGAGGAAGACTTGAGGTAGTGAAATTGCCAATATACATGTTTTGGATAGAACATGAATATTCTGCAACATTACTGAGTGAGATACAGGTACTGCAGCATTGAAATAAAACTTACCAAGATGAGTTTAGATATAGATTTAGAAATGGATGAATAGTGGATAATATGACACAAGAGAAGCTCTAACTAATGAGAACAATAGAAATAGGGGAAAGATGGAGCTCTCTAATGCAGCTGTACTAGAACATCTTTGAGAACTATTTGGATGGGTTTTTAATTACCGTAGCTAAAGTTTCTTTCCATTTTGTCTTTCTTGCAGGTCATACAGAGAATATTTTATACAGTAAATAGGTCCTGGTCTGGGAAAATAACTTGTAATGAGCTCAGGAAAAGCAACTTTTTGCAGGTACATAATATCTAAAATTTTGCAAGAGAGATATTTCTAGAAGTTTTAAAACTGCATTAACTAAAGGCTTAAGGGAGTAACATAAATAGCATTTCTTCCTTTTCCAAAAAGTAATGAAGATCCAATTGCATTAATTCTCATACATTAGAATATGTTTAAATGTAACGTTTTCTATCTAGAGCTGTGTACATCTAAATGTGTGTAGCAGAAGTTGGTCCGATCTGCTCATTCTTTTGTGAATGCATTCGTTTTCTACCATGTGTTCAGTTTTGCTGTTACACTGTATGGTGTGCATTGTCCCTGAAAACAAAAATTGTTCCACTGAAATAGCATGAGATATTAACTTGGCTATGAGAACTCAGATCATTCAAATAAATGTCTTACAAACTCTTTAATATGTTCTGTTTGTCCTTCTGATAATAGAATGTGGCATTATTGGAAGAGGAAGCTGATATTAACCAGCTGACAGAGTACTTCTCATATGAACATTTTTATGTTATCTATTGCAAATTTTGGGAGCTGGACACAGACCATGACCTCTATATTGATCGGAAGGATTTAGCTCGACATAATGATTATGGTATGAAAAATGAAGCACCTTTGTTTACATGTATTAAATGACCTGTAAACTTTGAGCTGAGGAAGTGGTTTAATGCCAAGGCCAGTCTGAGTCTGTTGGTGTAGCTGGTCCTGCTGACTCAGTGAATTAAAGCAGGACAAGTCATCTGTGATGCTACTTTGCATCTACAAATACCACATTTGTGGAAAATTCTGAATTTGAATTCCGATCTTGACAAAGAAGTAGGGCAAATATCACTTATGTGTTGGTGTTTTATAAATGGGTTTAATTGGCAGTTTTGGGTTGTTACCTTGGCCAAAATCCATTTTACTGATATTATTCAAGTAGCATGACTTATGGCAAGATATAGAAAGAGTAGAAAAGGCAAACATACCTTCAGGTACTTAGCTTATTTGGAGTTTTGCTAACTCAGCTGCAGTGTGTTTTGCTTTAATACCGTTAAGCACCAGTTAGCAGGTTTACATTTGCTGCATGTATAATATGCAATGACCATGATTCTGTAGTCTTGCATGCTTGTTCCTATTTTAAATATTCTTGTAGCTTGTATGGAACTGTTGGGGCTCTTTTTAGATGCCTCGTGTCCATCTTAATAGTGTTCCTTTCAGGACTGGAAAGCTTACCTAAGCACAAAGTGATTATGGAGTATTACCCCACGTTAAAAAGGATAAACACAATTCTGATTGCTGCTGAAAATTTGCCTACTAAAGTTTTACTATGCTTTAGGACAGTGAGAAAGGAAGACTGCTTTCTTTTGAGTGGCTGCTCTGTTAAGTTAGTATATTTTAGAAAGAAAGCACAACTAATACAGTGCCACCTGCAATTTAATTTTGCAAATTCTTAAGGATAAATAGAATATCCTTTACAAAGGTAGTGCTTAGTTCAGACATGTCTCTAAAATCCCTGAAATGGTTTCAAAATAGAAGCATGGGTCAAAACCATGTCAAAAATAGACCCCTGTCAGAATCAGTAAGGTATGTTTATTATGTGTGATCGTGCCAGTTCTGTTTTGGCTCTTTGCCAAGGTCATGTAAAACTTAATGCCACTGAAACACATTATTTACTTGTCAAAGAACTGGGAAATGCAGTTTTATTAATCAACCAATTTTATTACTTGTATTGCAGTTTTATTACTATTTCTGCATTAAGTTTGAATTCAAAGCTGGGTGGTTGTAGTTTTGCCTTGGAGGCTTTGTGTTAAGTGATCCTCTCTAAAAGGACTTAAAGGGATTAATGAGCACTACACTTGATCTTTCTCACTGATCTGTGTATATAAGAGGAGAGTTCCAGTAAACTCTTCAACAACACAATACATGCAAAAATAACTTGCATAGAGTTGACACTGTTTCAAACCTTTCTTCACAGCAATTTCAAATAGGATGATAGAGCGCATCTTCTCAGGAGCAGTAACAAGGTACTTATTTTGTATGCTGATCTAAATCCCATTTCATTTCTGCTTGTTAAATTCTGTGGTATTCCAAGGGAAAAAATGGCTCCCCCTCACAAAGGAGCAGGGAATTTCAAGATTAGATTTGTAGTTTAAATTCTAGTAGCACTAGAGTGGTCTTGGAACCTTCGGCACAGTTCAAGTTCTTCACTCTCTTTACCCATATGAATACGCGCCACTGGATATTGTATGATTTAGCAGGACTGGGAATGAAGAAGGAAGAAATGTTAGCATCATTCTTTTTCCATCCCTCAAACCTGTGAAATGTTCAAGGAGAACTGAGCTTTTAAGTACTAATTGTAAAATCAATGCTTATTGCATCAATAATTTTACAAAAATGCCTCCAGTCAAGTTAGTTCACATTTTTTGACAGTCATTCATCATTTCTCCCCTTGGATTGACTTCCTCTTTTGTATTTATGGCATTTTGTTAATTTTTGAAATGTTTCCTAGCACAATATCTGAGATAGAAAGCAACTGATAAATAGAAATAAAAGCTGAAATAAGAGACTTAGCAGGAATATGTCTAGAGCTTACTCCTTTATCTGAGTTTCTTGGGCAAGGCAAAAACATATACCATATTGCCCCAGACATCTTGAAGATAAAACATCAAAAAATTAATTTCATTATTGAAATGTAATATGTCTAAGAACTGCCTGCTTAACTTTTTACTAGACAGGTTGACTATGTGCAACTTATTTGGTTGCTGCAGTTATGAGAGTAGAAACAGACAATTATGTTCTTGCCATGGACACTTACTTCCTGAATATTTCTATTTCATTTTTATCTTCATATTTTAATTCAAAAACTTTTAGCTAGTGGAGTTCTGTAAAGCTTTTATATTCTCATCACTTCTACCTGAATAGAAATTCTAAAAAGCATATGTACTTGTATATAATATATAATCAAAAATTATTTGAGATGGCTCTTCTGTTAACCTTATGAACACTGGATCATTTAGAAGTAAAAAGTTAATACCAACAAGGAAAATAATCCTTAATTTTGGTTAGTAAAAGCTAGGTGTTCTAAAATAAATTTTCTGTCTTTTTCCTCATTGGCCTCCAAGAGGTAGAAAAGCACAAAAAGATGGGAAGATTAGCTACGCTGATTTTGTCTGGTTTTTGATATCTGAAGAGGACAAAAAAACACCAACTAGGTAAGAAAGAATTTGTTTCAGCAGAAATAAAGACTGACTTGGTTTTTCTAATCCTTAAATGGGGACCACTGATGAACAGCTGCAACTCTAATGGAAGATGGTAAACTATAAAAACATGAGTAGAAAACTGGCCCAGTTCTTTGCATCATCCTTGTTTATCAGTGTCTCCTGTTGTTGTAGCTGTAGAGGTCTCATTTAATGACTTTTAAGAGGCTAATTCAATGTTGTTCCATAAGTTCTGTGTGGCCTGTTTATGAACAGGACCATATGTTAAGGATGTTGCAGCTGTTTCATGATGCCAGTGACTTTGGGAAGCTGTGCAGCTACTGTTTGCTAGCTGTATGGTACTGATAAGGAACCCATCGTGTGACATGTCACTAGCTTGTTCAGTATGGAAACGTACCCAAAATACTGAAGTTATGTACAATTCAATTTTTCATTGTCTCCTTTGATTTTTTTTTTTAATGACCATGTGTTTTGGTCTTCTCCTTCACACCATTAACAAATGTGTTTTCAAATGCAATCATGGATGGTGTAGCAAACACCAGCAACTCTTACCACAGTAGGTGGTGTTTAATGACTTTCCATGGATTAGTGGAATGTACTCTTAAGTCTAGTTTTGCCTTTGAAACAGGCAACACGAATCCTTGAAATTCTGTAGTAAGTTTGTCTCTTTGCTGTTAATGACTGAATTTCAGCATTGAATACTGGTTCCGCTGCATGGATCTTGATGGGGATGGTGCTTTGTCTATGTATGAATTGGAATATTTTTATGAAGAACAGTGCCAAAAATTAGAGAACATGGCCATAGAACCTTTGCCATTTGAAGACTGTTTGTGCCAGATGCTGGATCTTGTAAAGCCACAACATGAAGGTAATAAACTCCTTTTCCATCATTAACTTCTGTTTCTCTGGATTTAGGAGTTAGTGCAGTCTTAAGAGCACTCAGTCATACAAATAAAATGCCTTGAGGTTGTCTTTTCACTGACCTCTGTTAAAGCTTAATAATTGATTGGTCATCCAACTGCAGGCAGGCAGGCATTCTTTCCACACTAAAATTTAATATGCTGCTTTAAAATTCCTTGTCAGCTTTCATTTTGTGATTCTAGCCACATTTAGTCTTAAGTAAAACCTTGTCGCTATCTAGCTGAGGTGAGGCTCTCAGGAAAACCTCTTGATGGTTCACTCATTTCTCACCTCTTCCAGTGCTCATTTAATTGAGTTTTTCTGGAGGGAACAGTTTCTAAACAGTGTTTGTCTCTGAGACCAGTATAGACTTAGGTTACATTAGAAGCTTAAGCTGCCCTTACGAAATTCATGACAAGGGGCTTAAAATTAACAGAATAATAAACTGTTCTGAGGTTTTTGGCTATTTTTTAGATTTGAACTTTCCTAGACCTGCATTCTACTCTCCTGCATTTGACATTGTATCATCAGCTGATAAAACTTCAGTTTATCTTTTACACCTGAAAAAAACTTAAGAATACAATTATGGTTAGACAACCAATTAGTAAGTTGAGTTTATTGCCCACCTTCTTTCTAGTGTTAAGAATATTTAAATTACAAAAAACTTAATTTTTTTAAAGACACGTCATTTATTGAGAATGGGGTTTTTTGCATGCTGAGAGAATTGAAATGGCTCAAATCTAGAACATAAAGCTTAATATTCTTATTTGAACAAGTTAAAATGGATTTGCTTAGTGAAAACACATCTCTAAAGGCAGATAAAAATTGTAAATGAAGAAGGAATATTAAGTGTGATTCATCTGAAAGTTCCATCCATATATCAGTGGAATGAAGTCTTAGACCAACATTGTGTAATGCATGGGGGCTAGGGGCTCAATGAAGTAAGCCAAGCTCTGAGAAGCACATTTATGTTTTATGGTTGCTCACAATCACCTCCTGAGCTCAGTAGTTCCCTTCCAGTCTTATGGAAAGGCATTTATAGTAATATTTCTGTTCTGCGTTTAAAAAAAAAGAAAAACAGTTGAGAAGGGGTTTTTTTTTTTTTTTTTTTTTTTTTTTTAACTAAAAACTGAATTATGTTTGAAAGATGGATTAAGGAAAAAAATCTGTTTTTCTAATACAAAAAACTAGCAGCATAAACTGATGTTTCACTTCGTGGCTTTAAAACAAAAGGAGACACTTTCATGAAGTTATGACTAAACTGTGATACAGTTTCTATAGCATGCTTTGTTTGCTAAAAAGCAAACTTTAATTTCTGGAGACCTGAATTAATTACTTAAACTTTACTCCTGTTTTGTTGGTGTTTGAGAGACAGTGGTAGGCATCTACACGAGTGTTACGTGTCTAAGCTCCCATTGCAATAAATGGAAACTGGAGAGCAAATCAATGACCCAAATATAGGAGTCTAACTTAAACTGGGAGCTTATGTAACTAGGATTCAAATAATTTGCTTGCCTGTGGAGAGCTGCTGCCACTTGAAATGGCGCAGTGCATCAGACATCTGTGTGGGTCTGACAGATACGGCACAGGTGCCACGGGGGATTCATGTCCTTCTGGAGCATCAGCAACGAGCCAGGCAGAACACCCTTCATGACAGATGCAAGCATGGCATCCATGTACAAATGGGATTTGGATTTTGCTTCCCTGTGATGTCCTTGAGTTACACTTTGTTAGAGGCTGGGACAGTATACTGAGGAAATACTGTTCCAAGTCTGGCTTTTATTGAACTCTTCCATAACATCTTCAGTTAGCTCCTATTTGATTAACAATGGAAGATTGTGTGTATTCCAGGTGAATCAATAAAGTGGAGTTGTAAGGATAGTCATCTGTCTTCCCTTGTGTATCTCGTATTTTTTAGCCTTTCTGCATAAGCTTTAATATTCAGCTTTGAAATAGAGTAACATTTCTGAGCAACCTGACAAATACTTCTAATGCTTAACACATCCATTGATTTGAGTCTTTAAAGTATCACACTATAAAAATCAAACAAAACACCTCTGAGCATTTAGCTTTCCTCTCAAGCAGTAAATATTGATCAGACTGGACAAGTGTGGCAACCTTGACTCTATGAAAAATTAATCTGTATGAAGCATAGTCTGTCACTGTCATCTCTGTCATACATTTATTTGTCTGCTCAAATGTATGTCAGGGAAGAGAGAGGGCTGCTGCCGTAGGAGATTCCTACCTGCTACCCAGGCACTCCTTGGGAAGGAATGGCTAACACACTAGAGACTTCTATCTGTTGAGGAAGCTTAAACAAATACCTTAAATGATTCTTAATAGCTGAGGGGCGTAGACTGCATCTCACTTCAATATACTGACAGGCTATGGGATATGACAACCACAGCAAGGAAAAAAATCTGAACCATTTCAAGTTTGTACACTTTGAAGGACACATCTCTAGGTGTGTATTTCATCTGTTTGCACCTCTCCCATTGCATGGAGGATCCGTGACAGATGTTGCTAAGCAGTGATGACTGAGTAATGATTGATTGAGTACCTTTTGATTCCTCCACTTTTGAGAAAGGATACATTCAACTCTAATAATTTTATCTCTAATAATCTTATCTCATAATCTTCTTTACAGGAAAAATTACTCTGCATGATTTAAAGCGATGTAAGTTGACAAATGTGTTCTTTGATACTTTTTTCAACATTGAAAAATACCTTGACCATGAACAGAAGGATCAGTTTTCTATGTTGCGGGTGAGTATGCGGCTGTAAAAGTCTTTATAGCTACGTGCTTAGCAAATTAATACTGTTTAAATTAATTGATTAATACTGTTTTGTCTAACATGCAACATGATTGTTTAGGATGGTGAAGGTGAAAGTCAAGAGGTCTCTGACTGGGAGAAATATGCTGCTGAAGAGTATGGTATCTTGGTAGCAGAAGAGGCAGCAAGTGACCAGTGGAATGACGGGTAAGAATGCAGCAGCACAGTGATATGAATCCTCTCTACTAAAGTACAGCCTCACCACCACTATCATTCATTTTAAAAAGAATAAACACATCCTTCTCAAAAATATGTAATTAATGATGTACGAGACTACCAAGTACACGTGTGAGCAAAAACTCTTATTCTAGAATATGCATCTCTTTTTACAAGCCCTTGTTTTTAAATTTGCAACTTGGTGAATTGAACCTTCAGATGACTTTTGTTTTCTGTTTAAATCGGTGGTGAACTCATGGGAGAAACCCAAGGTGCTGCTCTATTTTAGTGTGCATAGTGGAATCTTAGTATTTAACTTTACTTTGCCCTATGTCTTTCTCTGAAAGAACACCTGATGAGCACATAATTCCTTTATAAAGCAGTTTTAAAGAACAAAAATGCAGTATCTAAAGCTCATTCTCTGCACAGTCCTGTTAAGTAGATGGAAAAAAATATATGATGAAATTCAGTAGTGGTTGGAAAGACATGCATGAACATGAGTCACCCTAACCCAGGAAATGGTCAGTTTTTTAATCTGCTACCATAAATCTCCACAGAGACTTTGTGGGTTTTTTAAAAGCTATGAATTATAGATTGATCCCACCTAAAGTGTTGAAGCTAACCTTTTTTAAATATCAGCCTTCACTGGCTTGCGTTAGTTAAACATACATTCCATTATCCTTCTATTTATCTGCATCAGCAGCAGGTGGTTATCAATAATTTCTGGGTTAACAGCTGGGTTTTGCTTTCCAGCATCTGCTTAAAAGCATGGTTGCTCTCAGTTCCTGGTGCTCATGCACATGTCAGTAAGAGCCTCAGTCCAGTATTCCTTCTCTTTTATTGTACCTAGTGCAGCTGTATTTCGTTCTTCCTAAGTGAGCCTCATCCAGCTTTCTTGGAAAGAACTTGGGAGGTTTCTAGCAAGTATCTAAAGCCTTGCATTTCACCATTTCTAACCTATAAGTACTCCACTGGAGCAGTGTGTCAGTGTCTACTTCGAATCCTTTCAGCAGAGCTGCATTTCACACTGGGAAGTTCAGCATGTGATAGGAGAGTAAGCTAACTTAAATTCAAGGAATTATTACAGAACCCTGGTGCTGTTCTGGTTATGTTTCTTTATTATAAAATATTGGGAAACATGTTCTTCCTGCAGCTGCCTTGTTAGTGTTCCAATATTTAGGCACTTCCTGGCATAGTTATACTCTTTCATTTTCCTTTTTTTTTTTTTTTGTCTGTTTCTAGGTATGAAGCAGAACTGAATCCTGTAGATCATCAGAAGGCCAGTGTTCTAAAGTATCAAACGGAGAAAAGACCATTTTTTGAAATGCCTTCCCATCTGGCTGATGTAGACTTGGATGAATATGATTATGATGAGGATTTTGAATAGAGGTTACTTATGGTCAGCACTTGCAGAAGAGAAGGGACAGTCTGCAGCAGGTCTGCTACACACTGATACGTTTCAGTGGGGTTTCTTTCCAGGAAGTCAGCTTAGTTTTGTGCTAAAAATATCTAATCACTACACTACCTTTTAAGTAAAAGTGCATTTATATGGAATGATGAGATTTTTGTATTTATTCAATAGTTTATTGTTTGTAAAATAGATTAAAATATTTATTTTCAGATGTTGCATAATTCCTTTTTGGAAGAATAACAATATTTGACTTAAGAGAAAAGATATTGTTTTTAAGAGAACTGTATAATTCTCTTGAAGCTGATGTGTGGTGCACTGACCATCTCCATCTCACCTGTGTACAGGTATTTCTGTCCTGGTATGGGAGGTAAGGAGACAATTTACACCTGCAGTTGCTCATGCTCATAGACAGCCCTCTTTTAGGTTTGATGCCTTGGAAAGGAAGAGACGTGACAATGAGTGCACAGTTCAGCACTCATTTACAAACAGAGTTTTGTCTGACAAGCTCTGCATATTAGTAGAATACACTAAAGTGAACACCCAAGACAAGTTGTTTTTCTTTTCTGTGTAGTCCTTGTTTGCCCCAACTTTAATTTTGCCCTTTTAAACTTTAGTCTTTTTGTTGATGTTAATCATAAAAAGATTATTTAACAGTGAAGTCTGAGTGTTCATCCTTGATCCAAAATGGGTGTGTTAATTCATGCAGAAGGAACCAATTTTTTTTTTTCTTAATCCTTTGTATAAATGTTACTTGATCAGTGATGTGCACTAATTTGTTGTGGGCATTCAGTGCTTTTGTCTGTCCTCCCCTTTGCTTGTTTGCTATTGACACATTCCATGGATATTCATCAGTGTCACAGCAGCTTGAAATTGTTGCCTCACTTAACTGTTAAACAGGTTTTGTTGGGAAAAATGTACAAAAAGATGTAAGTTATTTTTTTGTTTGCAGTGTAGATCTTTTAAAATGTTTAGAAAACATGTTTGTATTTTCAAATAAAGATTTTCATACATGTAATTTAACAGTTGTAATTTTTACATACTGCACACAATTCATGTCTTATAAAGAGCCATTCACCACAGGATGGGTTACACAGGTATGCAGCCTGGTTGGATAATTACAACAAGCTGCATATGCAAAGCAATCAGCCTCTAGCAGGGTTTTCTTCATCCAAAAGAACATTTGCTGAGCAGCTGGGAGAAACCTGTTGTGCTCAACTCCTCACACAAGCTCCTGCACAAACCTACACCCCACCTGTGTATCAAGAAACTTACTGCTGCAGGGAAACTCAAGTAATTGTAATACCATTTGAAGAATTTTGGTTAATTATTCCAGTTTTAATACAGACTCACCAATGTCAAAGTTCTCCAGGGCTGGCTGGCTACCTTTCACTAACTGCCCATGGTTTGGGGCTTTTAAACAGTAAAGATACATAGAGCATTTCTGTGACGCTCTGTTCCCTCAGGGAAAGAATGACCAACTGGCTTTGCAGAAGATGATCCTGAACATCTGTTGCATTGCAACAGATGCATTTTCCTACCCTAAAACTTTTCTCAAGAAGGGAGCTTGTAACTGTGCAGCAAACAGCCACAGACTTTCCCAGCATGCAGTGACACATCTCTGTCCCACAGCACTATGGTGCAGGGTCGATCTCTTCTGCAGAGCCAGTATCTGTTGTTGCCACTTTGTGTTTAATGAAGTGCCTGTTAAATCCTGGTCTCTATTATACTTGTGCTAACCAAGTCCCTTCTTTCCTACGTAGAATGTATCCTGCTGTTATCAGAGAAGTCCTTTTTCTTAAAATATGGGCTTGCGGATTTACTGGACCTTGCCTCTGCAGGGTAATTACCATCCCAATCCCACTGTTACAAAAATTAAAGCATCCATATATTTGATGTGATTCCAGGTATAACTGTTTTCCTAGTCAAGCTGTATCTGCCTACCTGGTGAGTCCTTAGGCCTAGATCCACAAATCATCCACAGATGGATGAGGGGAAGCATCAGTACCAGTCCAGATAAGGGGGAGTTACTGATAGAGGAACCTGAGAACTATGTCCTTTGTGTCAGCCTGCACACTGTGCACAAGGAAAATCATGGATTCACTGTGGCCACTTCAGTGTACCCAATACCTGGGCAACAGTCATGGCTTTCACTTCCATCTTCATGGGAACTCCCTGCTCAGTCCGTGGAATAACACAACAACTGCAAAGGCCAGCACACATTTGCTGCCATTCTTTCTCTATCACGGTGTGGGAGTATCACTTACACATGCAGTACTAATGGATAGCAATAGTTCTGTAGTTTATTTTACACAGTTACAATCCAAAATATATATATATATATATAAAAAAATAAAGCTGATATGATTACTGCAATGTACAATTCCAGGGAGCAGTGAGAAGGGTCAGTGAAAGCAGCCCCCACTCCCCAGCCTACTGCCACTGAAACACTCTTGAGTGATGATCATTTGCAAATTCTTAATGCAAAAAAACCTCTATTTTTGAATGGCCATATTTACAGTCTATTTACATTGTCTTCCAGGCTTTTTCCAATAGACACCACATGATCACTGTACAAAGGACGTCTTCCAGAGGAAAATAGTCAGTTGGTCCATTGTTTCTTTCTTACTCTGAAGCCTTGATAAGTTTTCCTGGAACATGTCCTCTAGCCACATCTTTCTAAGCAATGGAATTCAGAAATACTTTCCCATGACTGCTCCAGGTTTTCCACAGCAAATGGCACTTGTTATCAGCTAGTAGGTCCCAGTGCTCACAGGTGGGCCAGGCTCTTTTCTCCCCTGCACTGGGTGCCAGGAAACATACACATCTCCATTTGGTTATCTTAAACAGTAAAGAACATGGCCAGCAGAGCACTGCCCCGACATGCTTCAAACAAGCTTGTCTCACCTGGTTCACAGTGTCTTTGATTCAGTGCAGCTGTGAGCTTTTCCAAGGCAGCATCAAGGATCAGGATGCAGCTGAGTAATGATGCTCAGAATGCCCAACCCTAGCGCTGCAGCAGCCACCTCAGTAACGCTCACAACCAGCAATGGTGAGAAATCAACCACAGTGCTACAGACTGGTTCTGGGTGGATGCCCATGGGCACAGAGACAACTTGATCCATGTCTCCTGCCACCTCAGTTGATGCTCTCACACCATGGATGAGTTAAACAATTTGCAGAAAAAACATAGCGTGTGCTTCACTTCTGTTCATCCTCTCAGTGTCTTAACTGTCCTACATCACAAGAAAAAAGAGATTAAGTCAGTCCTCTCCTATGAAGAAGACATCGTGTAAAAGCCCATAAGGAATCTGAGTAACAGTGTAGGATCTAACCATTCAGCAGCTTAGCTATAGAGCCAGCTTTTATAAAGAGCTACAGCTTCCACAAAAGGAAAGAAGCATTTCCATACCCCAAAAAGCCCAGAAAAGGCACAACAGGGAAAGGCATCATACTGCCTAAGTAGTGCGATTTCTGTATGGCTTTGATCTTTGTCGATGAAGTTAAATTCTTCTATTATCTATCTTCAGTAGGAGCTGCTTCAAGTACATGGGCCAAACTGTCTACATTTTAACATGCATATAACTCAAAGAAAAGGTAGAAATCCCTTTTTTTTCCCTTCTAGTCCTCTTTAAAAATAAAAGCCCACCATATGTTAAAAAACCATTGGCCAAACTTTACAGCATTTTAAAAGACAAAAATCATGCAAAGTCTGAATGTGGTGGTTAGATGCCAGAAAACCAGTCACTGGAAATCAAGGGGTTGCCTGACTCACTGCAAAAATACTGTCCGCCAAACACTGAGTTATGTTCTGAAGAGCAGACAACAGGGGGAAAAACCTGAAGGAACTGCTCGGCCCCCTGCAGCAATGTCAGCTACCTTTAGGGGGCAGAAGGACAGTGATTAGCTGCAGCACAGAATAAACTATGGCCTTTCTTTCCCCTCCACCCCTTTCCTGGTACAGTCACTCCACAAGACCCTGCTGTACAACATCTTATCTGAGTCCTTGCACTCCACTGGCCCAAAGGGCTAAAAGTCTTCCCTGCTGCAAGGATCCAGTCCAGGGCTGAGCTGAGGCCCAGGCAGAGAGCTGCAGCTCTGCCAAACTTGAATCCCAAAGGCTATCAATGCCCATGAGACAAGCCCCTGGCTATGCTGGCTGCCACTCCAAGCCCACAATGTTCTCATGCTTCCCTTCAAAGCCCCCGTTTGTTTGGGGACTATTTAATCTGCTCAACAGCCTTGACTGGAAAAGGGCAAGAAGCATGGGATACTCCAACAAGAGCCCAAGTGATCAGACACATTCTGAGTCTTTCAATCCAAAGAGCACAATGCAAACACCATTTCTGAAGCAGATATTCCCTTGCAGGCCACACAGCAGTGCCATCTCTGCAATATGTCAGTAACACGAAGCAACTGCAGCAAATGGCTCCTAACAAGGAAGCTTCACAGTATAGGGAAAAAGAAAGGGGATCATCCTCTTAATGCATCCTAGTGACAGTCAATCCTTATGAATGACCTAAAGATGTCTAGATGCTACAATAAGGATTGCCTCTAAAATGTGCATTGAGCTGAAGGAGGAAACTACAGTTGCAGCTGGAAAGGGAAGAGGGCATCCCCCTTTTCTCATCCTGAAAAGGGCTACAAAAGAGCAACCCCCTTTGCTGCTGCATGGCTACCCAGGAAACTCTGACCTGACACTGACCCACCTCAACTACAGCTGTCCTCAGAGCTGGAAAACCAGCCAGAATTACCTGCTCTGTACCAACGACATCAACATCTTCAATTGTGTCTTCTGGACCCCCCTCGGAGACATCTTCTCTCTTAACCTCGTCTTTGCTAGAAAAGAAAAACAAACCAAAAAATAGCTAAGTCTTGAGATATCTCGTAACAGAGGCTGCACATGGCACAAATGTGCTTAAGGCAGGGTATTTCACATAGTAAGATCTGCTGCTGATATCCATGTAAGGTAGCCTAAAGTTACTGGCCCAGGATTTCCCAGTATGAAACAGGTTATGCTCTGAGGAATTTTCAATAAAGCAGTTCAGAAACAAAACACTGGTTTAAACAGGGGCTACCTACTTGTTTAATAAATGTTTGTTCTATTTTACTTGTATTCTCCAGGTTAATTTAACAAGCATCCCAAAACCTGGAAAAGTATGCATCTTCCCAGGATTTGTGTTTCACCTTTTAACCTGGTAATAGGGGAAATGGCACCTAACACCTCAATAAATTAACTTAATTAAAGGAAAATACTGCAACTGAGCACTTTGCTCAAAAGTAGACTCCAGACTCCCTGTTTCTGCAACACCTCTCTCACATTCAAGTTGTGTGGGGTTTCACTGCAGCACGTCTGCATGCTGCACACCAACACTTTTTTAAAACAAAGACACTGGGTACACAGTGGTTAACAGCAGATCTGCAGAGATAAGAATCCTCTTTCATTTCCAGAGATGCAGAAAACACTTATTGTCTGGCTGCAGCAAACAGCCTGAGAGTAGCCAGCACCACAGATCTCCAATCTGGCATGGGAAGTGGGACAGGGAACTTTCCTCCATCCTTATCTTTTTCTCTGCACACCTGATATTACTTCAAGAAGGCACAGGAGCCCTGTTACAGTGGCAGGAGAAAGCAGCAAATGTAGATATTGGACTAAGGAAACAAAAAAACCCAACCTGTCCTTGGGACACAGCCCATAAGAAAGACAGGCGGGGCACATGCCCTGACTCATGAAGTATTACAAAAAAACAGAAGGTGGATAGGGAGACCCCAAGTGTCAATGCCAGAACAGGGGAAGGAGCTTGTAAGACATCAAACTCTCACCAGTATTTTCTACGCAGCCCTCCTGGACAAAGGAATGGCAAATGTTCCTGCAAGTGCATCTCTTGAGATTTCAGCCTCTTTCTGCTTTTCCCTGCTGCAGAGGAAAACTGGGAAACACACTGCTGTTCTGGGGCTTTGCTTCCTGCTTCAGTCTGGCTGGTTTCAGGCAAAGACCCTGCAACAGAGAGTGAACACAGTCATTCTTCAGCCTCACCCTCAGAGGTCTTGAGATGGACATTTCCAGTATGTTCCCCACAGCAGAGAAACAACTGGGCCAAGCTCAAAAGGACATCTGGAGCAAAGCATTCCTTTATTGAAAGAGACAGCTAAAAGCCACTTAAAATAAAATCCATTTAATTTGCCCACTGGTCATTTTTGCAATCTAGATTTATGAACTTGGCCCTGGTCCATAACTGCTATCAGTACTGCTGAGTCTATATAATGCTCAAGAAAGGAGGGCCTTTGGGGATACAAAGGAACAAGCTCTCTGAAGGCAAGTCACTGAAAAGAAGATTTATGAGAAAGAATGAGAAAGAAACTAAAGGACACTGTGGGAAAATTTCCTTTCCTTCACAAACAACTGCACATGTCCATAATACATTTTTATTATCAATTGTTTTTATAATGGCTTTATTACATTTTAACTAAGTCCCACCACATCCATGCAGTGAATACTTCATTACAGATTGGCAGTCCATAAATGCTGCCAAAACCTGGATGCAGCCCATCTAAATACAATTAATTAAGGTAGGAGTATAATCTTACAAGCTCCCTAGAAATTCAACAGAGAGAAAAACCCTAGAAGATGATTTGGCCCAGATAATCTGTCCTGTAGATCTGAATCAACTTCTAGAAACACCTCTCCTGCCTCAATTATCTACAGGGCCTAAAGCAACAATGTCCTTAAGTTAACAATTAAAAGCAATCAACCAAGTCTCAGTGGCTCAGACAAATGCCAGATGTTAGTACACAGCAGAATTCAGGTAATTTTGAATTCTCCTCACTTGTAGTCCTCAGCCCAACCCAACTGCTATTGAGTGATCAAGTGACCTGCAACAACAACAAAGCTGAAGGCAAAAACCACAGTTCACACTGGGAAGTCCACAACATCCAACACACTGTGGTACTTTTATGCAAAGCATTAAATACATTTTAGCATGTGCAAATTTGCTACAGCAAAGCAAAACAGCAAATACAGCAGTTTTGCCAGACAGATAAAGAAAATACAGGTGATCAAGAACTGCGAACTTTTCATACCATTAGACAATTTCCTTTTAAAAGAAGATGTCTTAGATGAGCCCACAGGGGGCCACTCTCCCAAACTGCCAAGGACAGAGCTCTCCTCATCTTCATTTGCCAATAAAGAGTTTCTGTACCAGACCAAAGGCTGCCATTTGTCTCCTCTGCAGGGCAGTGGCTCTGTTATGTACCTCCGTAAGTAACTGTACCTGGAACAAAAACAAAAGCAAGCATAAGGAAACTCACTATCCTTCCATTCAATATCTGAATAGGGTAGGTATTGCAAGAAAGGATTTTCACTTTATTCTCCAAAGGTGCAAACAGAACTGTTGAAGAGAGGGCACTATTTTTCTGTGAAATACCTGACATCTCTGAAGTATCTATTTAAAATGCAAATATCTTCAAAGCTGAAAGAGTGCTTGAATTTTTAGCATTAGAAACAACACAAGATCCACAGAAATTACAAAACTACATCAGCTTCTGTAAAGAGCTTCCTGTGCAGGGAAAATCTGCCAATTGCTGCTGCCAGTAGCAACCTGAACAGAGCAGAAATTCTGCAAGAATTCATCTCGTCTGGTGGCCTTTTCTTCCTCATGGACACAAAGGAGATCCCAAGCAAGAGATGCTCCCTGTGATTCGGTAGTACAGGAAACAGTACAGGTCAGGCAATGGGGGTTTTATACCATGAATGCCTGTTCTGTCACAATTAAAAACACGAACAACCAATTAAACCATTTTTCTACACTATCAGCTCAAACTCAATCCAGTTCTCTCACTAAAATGTCAAGTGTCTGCAAGAAGCAGATAACTGCTCTACAGATGTGACAATACATGGGATATGGAAACATTATCTCAAATCCTTGTTCTGTCTGATTCAGTCCAGAGATTTGACATTGCGCCTTCTTGAAACCCAGGTGAAGCTATCATCTTTCCTGGAGCAAAAAGGCCATCTTGAAAAACAGAACATTTCCAACAAAGTCTTTCTGACCCATTCCTACTTAATAACAATAAGAAAAGAGAACCAAAGACTGACTCAGGATTAGAAACCGGATATTCACCACATTTCAGCTACAGTTCATCACTTTAAAATCAAGCCCAGTGTTGTTAAAACAGACCCCACCTTAGCAAATACCAGAAGTGACAGTTTTAACACCAGCCTGTGCAACATATTATTCTTTTTTTCTTTTTCTTTTTTTTTTTTTTTAGGAGAGTGTCCTGGTAAATATCAGATGTTTCATTTGCTTTGCAAAACAAGAAAACCAGTGCTGAGAGGAGGTCAGGGTAAGCACCGGCTCCGAAACAATTAGAGTCCTGGACTCTGGGGGCCCCAGGGATCAAGAAACCCTGGTAATGGAATTTGTTAGTTTCAAACAAGCACGTATTGTAACTCAGTTTCAGGGTCTAATCCAACTGCTATCAATGTCAATGGAAAGACTCCTAGTGATTCAGGAATCAGGCCCTTCATGCTGCTTGCTATTCAGCAATTCATTTCTTGTGTGCGTTTTGTGGCACAGAGCAACTGACAGGCCAGGTATTTTACTGCTACAGCCTGTGCAATTACAGGGGAGAGGGTTAAAGTCCATATACTTTGATGGTGTTGAAATATAGTCCTTTCTAACAAATGCCCATATTCTGTATCTCATCCGTTACAGGTACATTCACATATGTTAGCATACAGACCTGGACATCAATCCCATGATTAATAAGAAAAATGAAAATAACCAGATGTTTGTTTCTCAAAGTTCATGTTGACCTAAAACATTCCATCCAATAATTTATGATAGAGCTAAACCTAAATATTTCTAAGAGGAAATACAATCTCCAGCCTCTGAAAGGCACTTAAGGCCTCCCAGAATAGAAACTGTTATTCTAGAAACACAGTATGAATGTACTTGTGGATAAATTGCAATTTCCCTTCTAGCAAATTTTATTGTTTCCCATTTGTTCCCAGCAGCAGAGGCAAGGCCCAAAGCAGTAAGAAGTCAAGTGCATTCCCTGCTAGGTTCTGTTATTTTCCACAAAACTTTTCCATGAATAAACCTACCTGAATGTATCAAATGTATCTGATACATTCAGGAATATACTTCCAGAATATATCCTCTGATCAGAGGTTTAATATAGTCCTAGGGAAAAAAAAAAGATCAGGATTTAGCTTTGGTCTGCCCCATCAACAATTAAATATTTTCCTCTTGTTTAATTTAAAACTATTCCCAGGAGGTATATGAAATAACAGTTTTTCAAGGATGGTTTAACAGAAATCTAGTTATTCCATGGGTGTCACCACAGAAGCTTACAGCTCTTTAAAATACAGACAACATGGACAGAGTTATACAGAAACTGTCCCAACTGGGGCCTGGAGCACTTCCCCTGTGAAGACAGGCTGAGGGAGTTGGCATTATTCAGCCTGGAGAAGGCTCTGGGGGAGGACTTACAGCACCTTCCAGTACCTAAACAGAGCTGGAGAAGGACTTTCTATAAGGGCATGTAGAGATAGGACAAGGCTTTAAATGGATTTAAACTGAGAGTGAGTTTAGATTAGATATTAGGAAGAATTTCTTGACTGGGACGATGGTGAGGCACTGGAGCAGGTTGCCCAGAGCAGTTCTGGACTCCCCATCCCTGGAAGTGTTCAAGGCCAGGTTGGATGAGGCTTTGAGCAGCCTGGTCTAGTATAAAGTGTTCCTCCCTATGGCAGGGGGCTTGGGACTAGATGATCCTTGAGGTCCTATGGATTCTGTGAAAACCAATTTTAATAGCAGATCTCAACAATTCTCATCTGAGAAAGATGCAAGAATAGCAAATGAACGTCATCCATACCCATAGATTATGGGTCTGTAATCAGTGTATGCTGACTATTTTCCTTCTGCATTTTGCATTCCAGCTTTGAATCAATTCTTTCAAATGAATTGTCTGTGTTGACGGCAATCATTAATAAATTGAGTCATGTGAAGTAACAAGAAAATAGATATTTTACTATTCTTGACCCATGTTACATAAAACCCGTTTGATGATTCCCATGTAAGTTCTCTTCCAGTGTAAGACAAAGTGACACGGGAACAAGCGAGTTACACAGAGCTCAGAAAGATGTGACAGCTGGTTTTCTTCCCTTTCAGCTGACTTTCTCTCAAAAGTAAAACTATTCTTGTCATGTACTGGAGTGATTTGCTCAGAAATGCAAAAAGGCAGATGTAACTGTCCCACATCTTCAAATATGCTTTCAGGAAAATGGAAATACCTGTTTTTTACAGTATCTGTAACTAAAATACTGAAGTGCAGAGATCCAGATCCAAAATGAACAGCACTGACTAAGGAAGTAATGCCAAAGGTCAAATAGAAGGAAGAACATTACTTCCATCTCAAAAATGATCAGAGCTGAGGCAGGTGAAGAAGGGAGTAAGATACATACCCATATATCTCTCCATTTAGGTGCATAATACCCCACTGATGCCAAAAGAAGGCTATCACTGTTATAGCATTAAATGTAAATATTTAAACCGCTGTAAAACATGGGCCCACGGATCAGGGCATATTCCCGTGTAAATAGTAAATTCTTGGATTTAAGTATCTATGTTATGAAGAGTGTCACATATATTTCTGTTCCAAATATGTTCCATGGAATCCACATAATTGAGGCCTGAAGCTGTGGAAATAGATAATTACAAAATAATGATCCCTGCATTATTTCTTCCACAACCTTTTGATTTACTTTTCTGTTCAGAAAGGCATTCCTGCCACTCCACTAACCAGTCAAGTCACAAATCTCTTCCACCAAATTAATACCTTTTCCTTTAGAAGAATTGCCTTATGTGGCCACAACTATGTGTGAGAAAAACCTAGAATGCTTATTGCACATACAATCTGAAATAACTACTACAAAATTCAACAAGTGTGTCTCAAACTAACAGCCTGAGGGGCAGACTGATTTCAGACGTTCTCTGAAGAGCCCTTGAGCAAATTCTGCCACACTGAAGTTCAAGTGTCCTTTGTACAGTGATACACAAAGAACAAGTGTACAAGAACTTAACTTACACTAGTCTTTTGTCTGGCTTTAGCAGCTTGTTGGAAAATTCACTGATGATTAACAGAAAGCTCAAGTTAGGAGGCAAGCATTTTCCATCTACTCCAGTAGCTCCTTGAAAAGCAAATTCAATCCCTTCCCTATTGGAAGAAAAACAGAAAAGAACAGAGTAATAAAACAGTTAAAAGAGACACCTAACAAAAGCAATGACCACGGACAACACGATGTTACATGGCACATACTTGTGTATCATGGCTATAGATTCTCTAGATTTCACTTGGTCCCAACCAAATGTTAGTGAAAAGCGGCGAGCAAGTTCTTTGATGTTTGCAAAGGAAGGAGAGGAGAAGTCCACACCATTACTGCTGTCTTGGCTTTCTGCATGTGTCTGAAACAGCTGCAAGAGAAGTCTCAGATAAGCAAACACAGGTAATCCTACAGGCAAACAAAGCACCAGATGGACAGAGAGACAGGCATGGTCACAGAAGAGCCTCAGTTTCTCACACAAGAGCAGGTAAGTCATGTGCTTCTGAAGCACTGAATAGAACAACAAGGCACTGACACAAAGGACACTGGTGTACTCCTAAGGCAGGCACAAATTAAAAAATAAAAATAAAAAAATTATGTGCATAAACAAAAAACTGATTCCTGAAGATGATGGTCTCACTGACCTCATCTCCTTTTGGGTCTTCTGAACCAAGCCCCAAGGGCCTAAGATGCTTTCAGAGTAGCACAGTGCAGATACAAAGGAGCACATTTGGCAGTACCATAGTCCCATTCTGGAGAGTAAGAGTAGGTCAAAAGCACATCTTGAGCTCAATTAACTGTGTTTTGGGGTTTTGTTTTTTTTTCCCTAATAGAATATGGAAGTAGAACTAGCTTGTTCTCATCAACCTGTTAACTTTCAAGGTCAGGCAAAGGCCAAAAAGAGCCTGTTGTCTATGTGATACCTAAACACAAAGTCCTGACTATGTCAGCAGAATATATGTAGCCAAATGCTGCTGGGACTCATCTAAGCTCAGATTTCAAGGGCCGGTTCACAGATCTAAGCCCCCGGCAATGTGTGTGAAATAAGCAAAGCTCATGTGTCAGTATCCCCGGGAGGAGCCTGCTCTCTGGATTGCAACAGGCGAGAAGCAGCTCTGGCCACGGGCAGAGCTGGCAAAAGCAGCTGCTAAAACAGCTAACTGGCTATCAGTCAGCAGCTGCAAGCCCCAGCAACTGAGACCCTTCAGGAGAGCTGCAACCCACTTTCCTCCAGAAAAAAAAAAAAAAACAAAACTGAAAATACAGGGGGCGTTGGAGATGACCAGACACAGGCACATCCATGGTTCCTCAAACTCAGAAGGAATTAAGGTAGCCCATAAAACACAGCATAAGATCCTGAACATTTGTTAAGCTTAAGAAACATCGTGTTCCAAGAAACACTTCATAATCTCACATCAGTTCTAACATACTATGCACTTGAAGATTAAAAACATGACCAAAAAATCGTGGACAAAAGCACCTTTTAAGATAGGTGTAATGATTTGAAAGGAGTTTTAATTATGACATGCAAAAACAACATACATACAGCAAGTGCAAGAAAGTAAATTGTCACTAGGTTTTCTAATGATTTTGGATAATATGGCATAGGAGGTAAAAATCTTCACTGTGAATACAGCTATCATAAGAGCCCATAGCCTCTTGCTTTAATCTTAACCTTACCTGCTGCAGACAGAGAATCAGTGTCTTGGCACTCTGAATTTTGTTATTGTACCTCATCTTGCTTAACGTTTCTTTAATTATGTCTCCAAAATCACTGTAGGTCTATTAACAGCAATAAAACAATTGAGAGTTATCATTCCCCTTCTTTAGCACTGGGAGAACACAAACCACATGACTGTTCAAGCGACACAAGAAGTTCCTAAAACACTCCCAATATCAGAACATGCAAGTGAAAAGATGACAACTGGATCTTTTATAGTATATCATACGTACAGCAATGGTATGCTCCTTGAAGAGTAATGTGAGGATCAAAGTTACACTGAAATTGTTAAGTATTAACAACTAATTGATTGTCAATTCTTAATTCATAATCAATTGCAATTCTTTAAAAAGAGCAAAGCCTCATCAGGAGACAAATTGAGTTTTCTGTACTTTACTAATGCTTGCCAATGAAGCAAAGAACAAGATTCATATTCAGGTATTTCCAAAGTTCTCTCAGATGACTCAAGGAAAACTGCCCAGTCTGATGTTCTTGGCCCTCCTGAAAGCCCCTTCAGAGTGGCTAAACCCTGGGACTCATGTGAAATGTAGGCACCTGCACATGCACTGTGAGAGCTGTAGGAATTAAGCTGACCACTTCAGTTGTGAGAACCTCAATAGATGAATCACTCTCCAGCTGTAAACTGCTGCTCTGCAGTGGCCTCTCTGGAGAAGCTGAGGAGCAGATGTCCAGACAGACAAGTCCTCTCCTCAATTTTCAGTTGCTTTGTCTGCAGTGAGGTACCTTTGTGGAACCAAGAGAGGAGATCTGCCCCACTCCTGGTTGATTCTATAGCCCTTCTGTGATTATCCCAGGACTCTGAGCCATAACACTTATTAAAACCCTACATTTCACAAACACTGGAGACACCTTCAAAAACTAAAACACACTGGTAGGAAAAACAACCTTATCTGAAATATTACCTTCACATAATACTTATAGATCTCAGCAGCTGCAGTCATCTCTACCACATTATACACTATTAACTTGCAGTATGCTGCCAGAAGACTCCGCTTTTTGTGCAAGTCATCAAGTTTGCAAGTGTCATCCTTTCCCTCTTCTGTCAGATCTAAGGAAACAAAAGCATTGCAGCTTTGTTCTATTACTTTATTCAAGGTATCTCAGTTTAAATTACCAACTTTCACCTAAATAGCACAGACTGAGCTGTTCAGTAACAGATGCCAGCACTCATTCCTGTGTACATCAGAAAACACAGGTTTATTCCCATTTCAAAGCTCCAGCTGATAACTGAAAAGAGTCTTCTTCCACAGCCTCCTACTCTGATCTTCATAGGACTTTGTCATTCCTACTAGCCAGAATCTCCAAGTACAACACTGCTCACAGCTACAGAACTGAACCAGCAAGTAGAATAAAAGGCACAAACACACCTAATGGAAGGGACCTGAAAAACTGCAACCATGTTTTTTTTGTAGAATAAAACAGATGGTAGAAAAGAACACATAATTCACTGGAAACCCTTCAAAAGTTGTCACACAGAGTCAGCAAGAGCTCCAATTAAATTCTCCAAGTTCCAATTAAATTCTCCAAGTGCTTATCAACAAGAGTGAAAGGAAGAAAAGTCACTTAATAGTATTAAGAACAAGTGTCTGGAACATGAGTTAGTTACTAGCTGGTAACTCATGGGAAACAGATACTCTTAAGAGTATTCCAACAGTGCTACAAAGGTGCTTGGGGAAAGTTTCTTGAAGCAGGAGAGCCAAGACACCCTCTCTCCTGCTGCACATGCAATCTATCAACTACCAAAAGACTTCAGTCTCTGACCTATAATTTTGGTGTGGACTGTTTCTGCTTCTAGAATGACTGTGGGCCTGGAAACAAACATAAGGCAAATGACTAATCAGAAGTATCTGAAAGTTAGAGTTTAAACTGGAATGAAACAGCTGCCAGCTGTGCACACAGACAAGCACACCTTGCATCACAAAATCACTTGTTCAGGAAGGAATCTGCAATGGGGTGAAAGGGATCCTTTGTGGGGAGAACTGAGAAATTAAAGGCATCACAGAATAAAGGTTTGAAAAAGATCTCAGGCCATCTAACCCAAAGCAGGATCAATTTTATAAGTTTCAGATACATAACAAAAACAACATAACCTGCTTCAATAACTCCCACATGTAGGATACTACAACCTACTTGTGCAATCTTTTCTACTGTATCTTTAATAATTCATATTTTCTTACTATTTCCCTGTTGCAATTTTGGCCATGCAATGTTGCCCATCAGTGGTTCTTGTATATGCACCATGACCTAAGGAAGCGTGGTGCCCCAAACTGAAGAGGGAACTCTATCTGAACAGCTGGAGAGGAGTTAGAGAAATCTAGGACAATGCTTGTTTTTTCAAAGCATGGCACTTGAACTTGTCCTCAGAACCACAATGAACAATCTGTTTTCAAAACACTCCCAAAAGAAACCAGCCTTCATAATTACAACCTCAATACAGCATCCAAATGTGTTTGAAAAAAGGCAGTAGAGCAACAAATACTATTTCCCACTGGACTGAGGGCAGCCCTGCAGAAAAGGACTTGGGGGTGTTGGCTGATGAGAAGCTCAGCAAGACCCAGCAACGTGTGCTCACAGCCCAAAAAGCCAACTGTGTCCTGGGGTGCATCCAAACCAGCATGGCCAGCAGGGAGGGAGGGGATTCTGCCCCTCTACTCTGCTCTGGTGAGACCCCAGCTGGAGTACTGTGCCCAGCTCTGGGGCCTCCAACACATGAAGGGTGTGGATCTGCTGGAGTGAGTCCAGAGGAGGGTCATGAAGATGCTCAGAGGGCTGGAACACCTTGCCTAGTGAGAGCACCACCAACTTGAGAGAGTTGGGGTTCTTCCACCTGGAGAAGGGCAGCTTCTGGGGAGACCTTGTAGCACCTTCAAGTACCTAAACAGGGCCAACAAGAGAGGTGGAAACGGACTTCTTACAACAGCATGTAGTGATACAGTGGGAATGGCTTTAAACTGACAGAGGGCATATTTATTTCTTAGACATAAGGAAGAAATTCTTGACTGTGGTGATGGTGAGACGTTGAAACAGGTTGCCCAGAGAAGCTGTGGATGCCCCATTCAGCGTTGAAGGCCAGGTTGGATGGGGCTTTGAGCAACCTTCTATAGTGGAAGGTGTCTCTGTCCATGGCAGAGGTGTTTGGAAGTAGATGATCATTAACATCCCTTCCAACCCAAACCAGTTTATAATCCTGTTAAATCAGCCCCACAGCCCCAAAATCAAAATCTACTGGCTCTTTACTCTGATGGCTTAGAAGGGTCCATGAATTAACACACTGCAACACTGCAAGGCCTTCCTCTAACACCATCATCTGGACCATGGAAGTCAGTCCACCAAACACTTTTACTCACCCAGCCCTGCTTTACTTCGACCCTTTTCATCATACAGGTATATTGGTTAATCCACAATCTGTACAGACCAAAGAATTACAGGTTTTTTTGTTTGTAAAGGGGCCCAACCAGAAAAAAAAAAAACCAAGCAACGCACAAAATGACAACAAAAGAAAGGCCAGCCCTCTTCCCTGATACATTCACTGTAGATGACAAATGATAGCAAAAATAGTAGATTATTTCTCCAGTGATGAAGATGTCTAACCTTTTTTTTCCTCTTCTCCATCCTTGAAAACGTGTTCCTGGATAAATGAAAACAGCTTTTCCTGAAGTTGTGTGTTAGGAAGATAACCTAGAAGTCCAACTGCTTCTTCATTATTTGAATCCAGGTGACTCAAAATCAGCAACCAGTCACAAAGTATCATGAAGGCCTGTACCAAGCAAATAAAGCCAAAGAAGGATTTAGAGACCATGTTACTTCTTGTGCCAATTCCACTTTGAATTTCCACCAAGCACAATCAAGTTTCCATTCCACTTCTTCCTCGCAAACTAAAGATTTCTCTTTGCCTCAGCTGTGATGAAATGTCCCAGCTAAATCCTTAAAAAACTTGTATGTTAGGATCCAGTGTATACAAGTATCATGCACAAATACCACCTAAAGATCTACAAAGTTCCATGGGCAAGAAGAAGAGCTGTATTATGTTGAAATACCCGTCTTTTAACACATGAATCACTGGACAATTTCTCAATTTCTTTAAGTAATATTCATAGCAAAACATTAATGAAGCAATGACAGCAACCAGTACACTGAGAGGTCTAATCAGAAAACACAATGATTTTCATTCAGATTGAGGCCTTGATTCTGCAGATGGACTCATGCAGACAGCACTAACTTGTAGCATTTTAACCAACTTAACTTTAGCTTTTATTTAAAATAAATAGTTGAAGACTGGGGTTTTTATGTATTATTTCTCTGCTAAGAGACAAAAACACAGCAAAATTTTAATAGATTGAAACACCAGTATGAAAAAAAGGCAGGCATTTAAAAGGAGATCTGAGCACAAATGCTCATTAAGTGATAGAAAAGCACAAACCTTTTCTCTTACATCTTTTTCCTTATGGTGGAGGAAGCATGTGCAAATCTGACTGAAATGTCTCAGCTGCCTTCTTAGTGGAAAAAGAGTCTCCTAAAAACACATTTAGGAAAAACAAAAGGACCAATATGTTAGAGACTATGATTCAACAGAGAACTACAGAACAAACAACAGTTGCATCTTTCTTCCACTCATATAATTAATTTAAGATAGCACAGCTGATGACATGATGAAAGAAGCTGGCATTTCACAGAACAGCTTACTAGCTATGAACAACTGCATCTGTCACAGTTGCTGAGGCCAGTGGAATTCAGCAAGTCACAAACTCTTTGTTTCTCCATCTGTAGGGAGGGCAGCATGTATTCTCTTATTCACTTCATCTTATCTGTATAAAGCAGTGATAACAATGGAAGAAGAGTCATAAAAGCTTCTGGTCCATCCCACCTAATGTTCAATGTGCACTGCCTTCTGGAGTTGGTTTTCTCCCTTCCTCCCCTAAGGACTACAAAGGGAATAGCGTTTAACTTTGGCACTCAGAAACTTAAGACACCACACTTTGTTAGGATGAGTCCAGTATGGGAGACTATTTGGTTTGCTCACAACCATACAAAAGACTTTCTGATCCTCCACCAGGTCCCAGCTGCACTGCACTGAGCTCTGAGCCATCAGTGTAAAAGGAATGTCCTTACAAGAGAGGCAGATTTCATGTTATGCAGCTCTACATTTACAAAAAAAAGGGATTCATCCCAGGACATGCTGAAGTGAACCAGGTGAGGGGTAATACATTGTCTTAACACTGCTAGGGGAGGAGCAAGGGAAATAACAGAGCTGCTGTCCAGGAATTTTTTTTTTTGCTCTTGGAACTTCTCGATCTGCCAACATCCAGATTTGGCCCTGCAGAGTGGGCCATCACATCTGCTTCCAATCAAAATCTGCTTCCATATGAAAGGCCAAATTAAAAAATGTGCTGCCCCATTACCAAGCTGAGCTAACCATGTCTGGAGTGAAAGGCAGAACACACTGGAGCAGTGAGAGATGCGGACATCCCCGCAGGAATGGAACGGGACGGGAATAGACAGTGAATCAGTGGCCAAATGGGTAACGCCCCAGCTAGCATTTCTCACACCCATGTCCGTGTCAGCGCCCCGTCCTGCGTGCGCAGCAGCGCCAGGGAACGGACAGAATGACAAAGCAGCACTCAGTGGAGGCAGAAATCATCATGAGGAAGAGCCCCACAGGGTACACATTCACACATGAAACAAAACATAAAAGAGTTTTCCTTTCTGGTGTCTTAAACTAGACTTTCTTCTAAAATATCTGCTAGAGCTTGGTACTTTATAAATTACAAAAGTAAATAGTCAACCAGTGAGAAAACTGCCACTTTCCTCAACTTTTCTGACAGAAATATGTAGGTAGGTAAACCAAGAAAATAAAAAAAGAAACAAAGTTAGAAAATGTCCTGGAGTTCTCATTTAATATTCTTTGTTGCTTAAAACAAGAAAACAACAAACTCTTTGGCAGTGAGACAAGTTCCTTATCTCCATCAAGCTCTAGGAATTTGATGCACATGTTTTGCGGTAAAAATAGCAGTGAACCATTGTTCCTGCAGACTGAAAAATCACACACAGTTTAAAAGGAAAAAAAAAGAAAAGAGGATAATATAGAGAGAAAATGCCTCAATTCAATTTGGTTTCCTCAGGAAAATAGACAAACTATCTTCTTATAAGCTTGCTTTTTCAAGAAATCTCAGAACAGGAAAATTAGCATTAACTTCTATAAGCACAACTCTGGGTCTCAAAATTACATCAGTGACCAACCTTGGGAGAATTTTCTGAAACTGCAGCTAGTTGCCACAGGAGAGAAAAATATGTGCACTGGAGAGCTGGTAGGATAATCTGCAAATAAAAACACATGTCCTTTATTTACATTAAAGATTCAGCAGCAAAAAGCTTAAGACTAAACAAAGCATTCAAGCCTGACATTCTGCATGCTGCTTGCATGAACACTTCCCAGTTGTATTTAGATCCTTAAAATAAATTTAACAGGTTTACATACAAGTAAGCATTGCCCCCTGAGAAACTTCATTACTAAGGTGCTGCTTCTGCAGAACTTCTCTGATATCTTGATGAGTTCAAGGGAAAGCAACCCACATATCCAAAAGTGTATTCCCAGAGGCTCACTTTAGCTTAGCTCCTTGGGATTTCTTCGAAGCCTTTGATGAAAGGCAGACTCCTCCAGAGGCCAGTTCAGAACAGAAGCCAAACTTTGGTGCTCCGATGCTCCATCTAAAGGAATCCACTTCTACTCACAGGCTGCAGGCTCTCTCTACTCAACTAAACTTCACCCCTTGCCAAAAAGCCCCCCAAGTTCTCTCCTGCAAACAAGGGCTGGTTTCATTCATAACTGCTGAAGTATTTCACCTTGCAATCCTAGAATACACAACTCCATCTTCACACAGGCAACCAGATAACCAAAAAGCTGCAGTTGAGACAACTGGTAATTATAAACCACTACAACAAGAGTCAACGTGCAAGCAACAGATCCAAAGTATTCCAATTTCTGGTTACATGCAGTATAAAAGAGGTTTTCCTCATGGTCCCAACAATTTCACATGTACTCAAACTGAGACTATGCAATCATTGGAAGTACTGAACATGACAAAGGACCAATCCAGATGTCAGATGATTATCACAGTTCTGAAAAATCCACAAAATCAATTAATATAAAGGCATGAATTTACAGATTCCGATAACCAAAGACAGCCTTAGTTTCCCAGACTGAGAAATGGAAAAAGAGGTTTTCCTCATGGTCCCAACAATTTCACATGTACTCAAACTGAGACTATGCAATCATTGGAAGTACTGAACATGACAAAGGACCAATCCAGATGTCAGATGATTATCACAGTTCTGAAAAATCCACAAAATTAATATAAAGGCATGAATTTAGAGATTCCAATAACCAAAGATAGCCTTAGAAAAGGTCTAAAGAACAATTTCCTCAGCCCACTCTAAAAGACTATTTCTAACAGTATTATAATTGAGTATTCTCAACTCAGCATTAGACTTCTCTTTGGAAAACCACAGTAGCCTCAGCAGGCTGGAGAGGTAAAAGACACATTGAGAAGAAGGCCCAATTCCCCTAAGCTCTGTAATAGCTTGCATGACAATTTAGTAGTCTCTGGAGAGCCAAGGTTTTGAGAAATCATCTTTTAACAAAAGAAGATCAGATAAACTAAAAAGTGGATTACACCTGCTGCAAAGAACAACTGCATTCAGACTGACCACCAGTACTGTCAGTAAGGCTGTGGAAAAACATTCAGCTAGAACACAGGCATCACAGAAGGGACCTCTGTGTCCACTCCAACATCTCAATTCTGTAGCATACACTTCTCAGCCACATTAGGGCTGATGCTCAGTAATGAGTCCAACAACAATTCCATAACCAAGAGTACAGTTCTATTAAGAAGAAACTAAATCTTGCAGCATCTCTCATAGGGATCATTTTCATTCTCTTGCAAAAAACCCCAATAAACCCAACAAGTCATTTTCACTTGGCATGTATAAGGTCCATACTTTAAGTATATGGGAACATAAATTGTGTAAATAAACATCTCACTTATGAAAAGCTGCTACTCTTCTCAAAGTAGAGTGCATCCGGGAAATTTCTCCTGCATCTGTACAAAATCCTCCTTCCTAAATCATGAAAATTTGAGAAAGAGAAAGGAATTAGCCAGTGTGGGCCAAAGGAATGACTGTGTTCCCTTCCCAACCAACCCACAAGCTTGGATCAGTCTCCTCCAGCCCTCCTTTAACCTTTACCTTTAACCACAGTACTCATGTCCTGCTCTACAGTCAAAAGAAAACAATATAACTGCACAGGAATTTTGTATAAGGGAAAATCCCTGTCATTAATAAACCAATGGCAGCCTCCCTAGACTGCAGTATTGCTAACACAGAGTAAAGAGTAGCAATTAGTCTAACATGGTCCCTCTCACAGTTGCTAAGGATCTCTGGAAAGCTAAGTCTTCACATGGTGCTGACCTTCCCTGCTTCCAGCTGCCAGATCACATTCAAAGATAGCTAAAAATATATTAAATATTTTCCCATAGATGCAATTGCTGTAGTTTCCACAAGTATACTATGTGATTCTGGGGGACGAAACATACAACCAGGAATTAGAAGGGAGGAGTTCCAGGAGAAAAATCTCTTTATTTAGATATAGATCACACTACGGAGGAGTCGAAGAATCCCTGGTCTTGCACTGATCTTGTTTCTCATAAGCACACATTCTCCCACATTGACACAGATCTCTATTTAAGACCAATAAAATTAATCCAATCTGAGGTTAGGGGATTTTTTGGCTTGACACATTTTGCAATATCCCCGTGTCCAATAAAAACTTGCCAGTGTTAACTCTCATACCATGGCATGACACCTGTTCATGACGGCACAGTTGATCAGATCAGCTGCAGGCTTCTGTTGTTCAGCTCAGCCAGCAAGCTATTCATATCCCCACCAGCTGTTTCTGCTTTTTAGACCTAATGAAAAGCTTTGAGGGAGACTGCAGTGCTCTTTCAAGGGGGAAGTCATTATTTCCAAGACCCTCAAAGCTATATGATCTTCATTACAGACTGCTGTTTGCTCAGTTTTTTTCCCTACATCCAAAGTGACAGCACAAAGGGCATCCTGTGTACAGTCAAATATGGAGAACTACAGAACTGTACCTTTTTGGGAAGAGCCTCATCACCTGTAGATCGACAGCACTCACTAGCTGATTTTGCACATAGTATCTTTGGCAAAGTATTGGAGTAATTACAAAGCAATTTCTTAGGTCCAGAACATCTGGTGTAGCAATTTTGCTCTCCACAAGTACACATTCTCCCACACTGGCACAGATCAACAAAATAATTCCAGTCTGAGGTCGGGGGACCTTTTGGCTTGACACATTTTACAACATCAGCATCCAATAAAAGCCTGCCAGAAGACATACAATGCCCTGTTGGTGGCGTGGACTACCTTGTTTATTATTTTCCCAACTCTATTTCTGCCAAAATATACTGCCAAAATATACCTGCTTCATTAAAATGTGAAGAACCATTCTTTTCAGAGGTGCAAACTCATCTTTTAGAGTTCTGCCTCCTTCAAGCAGAAATGGCAGGCAAAGAATAGTTCCATATCCCCCTTAATTTTCTTTGTCTTCCTTTTTTTTCCTAGGAAAACAGTCTGCTTACCCCTCAATGAGTCACACTCACCTTTTGCCAGAAGCAATCTAGTAGCTGGTTAAGCTGTTTCATCAACTCATCTATCATTTGAGTTCGAGCACAATCCACCTGGCTATAGATGGCAATTTCTTCACGGCAGAGAACATAGTAAGTCCTGGAGGAAGCCTCGAGGACAGACATGTCGGAGTGTTTGGCCACAATGTCTTTTATCTCTCTCAGCAAAGCATCCAAATGCTGCAGGTGATAAAAGGGGCATTTATAGGTAAGTTGTACAAAAATTCTCTTATGCTTTAAATAATTTCACTAGGCCCATCTATCCATATGGGTCATATAAACAAGATGAAACAAATGCCAGTCTAAGCAGAAGAGGGGTAGGACTAAAAAACACAATTTTTTTTTCAGTGTTTATAGCTCTCTTTCATCATTATGTCTCTAGATCTTCCTAAAGAATGAAGCAACTGCTTTAAGTTCTTTAGCAATACATGGCTAGCATTACACAGGGAATAAAAGATGCCTTTAAGAAGGACAGCTCTGTCTTTAAGCAGTAGAAGTTGTCTCCATCAGCAATGGAGAATGGAGAATGTTTTGGATCACGTCAGAAACAGGGTCTTCACTCTTAGTGGGAAGAGGTAACTTGTGCCATTCTGCTGACTTGCTCTCTTCCAGTTCAAGTTTTGGGCTGAAATTAACCTCACAGTGTTTGCCTAACACTGCCACCCTGCAAACACCCCTGCTTAAGAATATGTTAAGCTATTTCGAGGATTTCATCTGTCTGTTTCTGACCATCCCTTTCCCATCAGCAGATATACTATCTCCATTCTTATCTTTCAGTCACTGTCATGCCCCAGCAGCTGGGAGACAGCCTTCACAGAGAATGAAACCTATTCTGCAGTAAACTCCTGGGAGACACCAACTTAAGACACATGGCATAACGCACCCTCCCTCCAGCCAGGAATGAAAAAACCCAGGGCTGGGTCTACCACACAAAACCACAAATCGTTATCCACCAAGGCCAGACCCAGCATATCAGAACTGACAAGGACTAAGGCTTTTTTTTTTGCAGCTCCAAATCAAAAAGTAAATCCTCAGTAAGACCACTTTCCTTAAGGTATGAGACCATTTCACTATATTTCAACAATTTTCTACTTGTTCCAAATCCCATTACACTCCCTACACTGTCACATAAACTTAGAGCATGAACCACATGAACCAGTTACCCCAATTCCTATTCACCTTCTCTAGATGTCCTGTACTGTAAACATCCAAATTGTAATACTGAGGAATCTGCAGAAGACTTGCCACTTTTTGTGCATCTGTTGAATACTACAGAGAAAAAACAGGATATGAGTACGTTGAAGGAATTTTAATGAAATATTTAACATGCATTCACAGAGCAGCTGTTAGTTACCTTTGCCAAGAGCTGAGGAAGCACCATAATAAAGTGCTCAGTAATTTTGGTACAATCTTCCAATTGGATTTTCTTCTCTTTTACTGACAAAATCTGCAGATAAAGAATTTGGTTTCAATTATAAAATCTCTGGGATTTGAGTGGAATCTTACATATAACCCAAGCTTAACTTATATTGTATTGTCTCAAGCATATCAACCTAAGATAGAGAAACTTTTGCATGAAGAAAACCAGATGCTTTTTTTTTTTTGTTGACCTTAAATTAGATGCAAATTGATGAACAGCTATATGTCATGGATAAAATGCTCATCATTTGTCAATAATATGATTCAAGTGGCTCTCCTCTGATCCTCATCTCCTTCAACGTCCACTTCTAATGAGATCTAGAAGTGAAAAGACACTGCAACATTTCAGAAAAATAAGCTATTTTATTTCCTAAGATACATCTGCAACTAGGAACAAGCTGTCTGGCAAAGTACATAAGGCAAAGATAATGTGATGACAGGACAATAAATAAGACTAGGATGCACTGACTTTTTTGGCTGCACCTCTGCCCACTGGAGGATGACCTTCAGCTGCTTCTCTGACTGTCGCGAGGATGATTTCGATGAGAGCACTTTCCTGGGCATCGCTCAGTGCTGGAAGTAAATCAGTCAGCATCACACAAAAGAAAAGTGAAGATGCAGCAACAATTGATGTAAAGCCTACTCATTTACCTGAGGAACTGTGGAAGGACACTAAAGAATGGGAGATGCAGTGTTGCTAAATAAACAGCTAGAGAGTCTTTGACTTCATTTGAATAAAGTTATTTTCTACCTTTAGTGAGTACCATTAATCCCTTAATGGCTAAATTTTTTGGGGCAGTTGGGCTTGCAAAAACACAGGCAATTTTAATGAGGCTTCCTACTGACTAGTGTCTCATTTAGGACAAATCATCTTTGAGTACCAAAATGCTCTAACTCACTGGGTCCACAAACTGATTTTAATCACACAACCAACTCCAGGTCTACAACAACTATTCACAGAATGGTTTGAGTTGGAAGGGATTTTAAAGGTTTATTTAAGTTCATTTCAAAATAATTCTAAAAAAAAAACTCCTCTAGTGTTAGATGTCAGTGAACTCAATATATTACTCATTTTCTTTTGAGGAAGGAGTAAAGGCCTGACAATAACTGCATTTCAATCTATTAATACTTTTAGATTCCACAGTTTTGGACTAACAAAGTGAACACTACATAAACATTATGGCTTAATTACACAAGTATTTACTGCACAGGTTCTAAACTAACATTACATAAAAACAGAAAACTGAATAAAACAAGTATATTGATATAAATATTACACTAGCAGTGCATTGAGTTGCATCTGCTTTGTGGCACTTGGTGACCTCAATCTGGGACCAAATGGTACTGCAATATGAAAGATCCTAAACTAGCTAAGGCAAGGTTCAAAAAATAGCATGGGGAGATTCATTCAGACAAAACTAAATTCTTTGCTTACCCACCTTCTCCAGCTTCTTCAGCATTTTTTAACAGCAGAGTGGTCATGCACTCCCAGTCCTTCAGGAATTTGCCTGCCCAGTCCCACAAGCTGTCTACTAGGTATGCAACATGTTTGTGTAGCTAGGGATTAAAAACACAAGCTTATATAAGCAAACACATCACTAGAAGAAACACAGCTTCATATGTTCCTCTCCCTTTGTCCAATGAAAAAGCTCTGTCATTCACATATATATTCACATGCAGTATTTCAACATATTTAGTTCAAGGCCAATGAACATTTAAACACAATGTCTTCGACCTGATACAAAGCAGGAAAGTGGGGTGAAAAATCAAGAAAAGCAGACAAAAAAATTTAATTTTCTCTTTTAATACAAATATAAATTTAAATTAAATAATCTCTGAAACTAGTTTCTCTATCGCCTTATATTGCTGACTGTAAGAGCCAAAAAATCCAGTTACAGAACTAGGAACAACCCATCTATCCAATTCTTTGCAGAGAGATCCAAAACTGCTGTGCCTGAGACACTTTGGCACAGAGAGATCTGCACCACTGCAAAAGCTAAACCGTGAACTGTTTATCAGCACTTAAACTGATAAAACTCTCATAAAACTACAATTTTTGGTCAGCATGGAGCCATGGTACAGCAACCCACATCATTCTCTAGAAAGACACGGACACATACCAAAAAAAACCCTCACTTGGTGGCATTAGTCTTTCAGGTTGTTTCCAGAAACTGCCTCAGCACTGATGCTCTCCATTAGCACACTTGTAAATTAGGTTTAATACAACAGAACAGAAATGGCTTCATTAAAAACTTAACCTAGACAGTGAAAACGTTTCTAACACCACACATTTCAGAGCTCACCAACAGAAATTGCTTTCAAAAGCAAGAAGATAATTGATTTAACATACAACACTGGATTTGAAAGGCTTATTGCAGGGGCAGTTCTCACCTCACTCTCCAGGAAAAAGTCTATTAACCTTTTCAATTGGTCAGTGCTTGCCCCAAACTTTCCTCCTCCTTTGGGCTGAACTTCTTTATCTCTCTTATGACTAAGCAGCCTGCCAAAAGAAAAGCAAGTCAGTCCAGTTTTGCCACATTCTCCTTCCACTCATTTACCAATGTAACACTAATTCTGTCAAGATCAAAAGGACTGTATTTCTCTTCAGTGTCTACTTATTTATCCCAAATCTCATTAGACATTTTTATAAGATGAAAGGAAAAAAGACTGTTTTCCATTATGACAGATATGCTATCCACTGTGGATGCAGAGACTGTTTCTGACAGTTTCACAGGTACCCTGCCACCCCTTCTGGACGATGGATGCAGATTCCACAAACTGATCATACAATGACTAGGCATTTGCTCATGCTTGGAAAGAGGGTTGCTCTAGACCAAATTTAAAACCTTAACACAACAGAGATATTAGCACACAGCCACTATTCACATCACAGTGCATCTTAGAACTGCAGCTTCTTAAGGAAAGCACAGTATCTTGTAATTATAAGAGGCAATTAACATCACAAATACAATGGAAACTCTGCTCTTCCTCTTCTGTCTGAGGTATGAAGCACAGTATGACACTTCCATTTCCCCCTTTATCCAAAATGACTTTTGACTACTACCCACAAAAAGCGCTAATTCCAAGATAAATACAGCAAGGTCACCCCTGCAGATTAATGTAAGGGCCAAACAGCTTGGATTTAAGAGCTGGACCTCACTACTAAATGTCAGCAAAAGCTTGTGCATTCAGGAAGAGTTTCTGCTGGTAAAATTTATGCCAGCTAAGTAACCTAAGTTAAAATATGCAGACGTGGAGAAGATTTTGTGCAAACCAGGAAGAAGGGGCAGCAGGGGAAAGCAAAAGCATTTATACTAAAACTTAGCAGTATAACCAGGAAAAGGAGGGTGTCACTAACATCTCTTATCACACCAGAATGAACATTCTCTACTGGAAAAAGTGCTGGAGAGAAGCACTGGGCAAACAAGAACAAGGATGAGATTTACAGGGTCAAGGTGTCCACAAGGCACTGGCAAGCTGGGTAGAAAAAGTGAAGTTATCAGGGCAATCACTTTGGTAGCAAAATGCAGCAGAGTTCTGAGAGGAGAAACATCTAATTTATGAGAGCATATTAGGACCAACACAAACGACTACATCTAGCAGATGTAATAGCAGATTCATCAAAAAAAAAAAGTTTCTCTTCATTTGTCTTTCTGTTGGACTTAGCTCCACAAATTCCAGAATGCCAACATTTCAGTGACACAGGAAAACACAACTAGGAAGAGATTCTCTATGTGTGGAAACATTATTATTATTTCTGAATGTTCCCCCACAAAATCCTTGCCTAAATATTTTTATTTTCATTTCTTTTTGTAAGTCAAGATTATTTCTCTCAGTGGTAAAGACAGAATGTTTGTCTCTTCCCTTTTTAGCATGCCAACTCCATACAACTTCATGCAACCATAGTTATAAGAAGCCCATTTATAAGAGTTACTCCTGGGGAAGATAAACCCTGTATTTCATTAACCTGACAGGAAATTGGGAGGGCTTTTTAATCTGCTGCATCTCTCATTATTCAAAGCCTTTACAAAGTATAAGGCAACTTCCAAAGGGAGAAGAGGAGGCCATTTTTGTGATTAATTATCAAACTATGAAAATCCAGGAGATGCCAGGTGACAGATTAGCTTTTAAGAAGCAAAGCAATAGGAAAGTAGAGAAAAAGAGGGCAAGTTCTCAATATAGCATGACACTTGTGCATCAATTAGTTTCATATTCCCTGTGCCTGTCTTGCAACTTTTCTCACACCTATTGTTTCAGGGCTCTACAGGAAAACATGCAATTACCCCCAGACAGCATTTCTCTTCTGATTACCAGAAAAAAGGCGTCACACACTTTCAGCAGAAAAATTAATGCTTAATGTCCCCCTTAAATAAATCCACCTTAATTCCAAAACAAATGAGACTATGCAAGAAGTAGGCAGGCAGAGATACCTTTTATAAAGGAATTCCCCAGCTGCTACTGCGAGCGGACGGTGAGTGGTATAAACAAACTGGTATAACATTTCACAGTCTTCAGCTGATAACACATCCTCACAGTTCCTAGGCAAAAATAACAACGGAAGTTACAGTCCAGGTTTATCTGCAAAGAATAGCATGAATGCTATGTCCAGCTATTACCAGACTCAATTCTCCATAACCGTGCAACTTGTTTACACAGCTATGTGTAAATTTTTGAAGGGCGTTTCTAAAAATGCTCTCAAACAAAACTGGCAGCATTCTTTTACTCACTGTGTAGAGAAACAGAGGTTTGTGTAAGCCATGACAAATCAGGCCCACTGCATGGACATGAACATTAATTTAAAGTATAATTACAGTTGATAAGTGATCATGGTAAAAAGAGTAATAGTAAATAAAACAGGAAAATCATGCATTTACTTTATGCTTAGATGTTCACCATAGAAGATAATAAACAATTAGAAACCTTCATTCTGAAGTACTAATTGTTCTTGAGTCATTTATTCCAGTATTTTACAACCTATATTCTATTACACTAGAGTCCCACACAAAAAGAAATCAAAATGCATTCTTGATGGCACACTTATGGCTGTGACCTCTCTGCACAAACACATTCAAAGTCACACCTTTTTTCATTCAGCTACACATCTTGAGAACACCACATGTCAACTAGTACACTAGAACACTCTCGAGAGGTAGAAATGGTATTCATATCAAATATTTACAAAAAAGAAACTGAAGCATCGAGGTTGAATAACCCAATGAAGAGGCACCAGAGCAGTGAAGTCCAAAACCAGGATTACAGTTTCCAAATACCTGCTTCTTGCTGCCACAACAATGTCACTGGACTAGGCTGCTTCAGAGAATGAAAGAGCAACATATGAGATCCTTACACTCACTACACCCAGCTGAAAGGAAAGGGCTTTTATTGATCACTGCATTCAATCCTCAAGTAGTAACATTTTAAAACCATCTACACCTGTGGTCCAACACCCTCTCTACAACTGAGGATCAGCAGTCCTTCCTATACTTGCCCATTTGTCTCCAACCCATTGCATCCTTTAGCATCCTCACAAAGCCCCAAAATATCCTTCAACCTGACTGAAAAAGAAGTGAGCTCACACTAAGCAAGCTCCATCACTCACTGGAGCATCCATTAAAAAGGTCTTTAAATGAAAGTGCTAATGGTATGTCTCCAAAAGTCTTGTGAATCAGTCTCACAGGATAACGTGAAATAAAAGTTGCCTTACACACTTAAGGCAGGTTTTGGTGGACTCTTTAAACATGCAATTACCTTGAGAACATATTTGCAGTAATAGAACATATAGGAAGTGTAAAGAAATACATGTCAAGAAATCACCATAATGAGAAATATTTATGTCACTCATTTAACTATCTGCAGAACTGGGAAAGTAGCGTAAAAGTGTGTTTATTGATGTTAAACAGTAAAAAATGAAAGAAGTAATACGGTTTTATGGTGCATTAGAGCACATGAATAAGCAGTGGTGTATCCTGTGAAGCCACGAATGATCAAATTTATTAAACTTCTATAAGTTTAACACGTGAAAGTAAAACAAAGAATGACAACAAAGAGCACTTACAGGAATAAAAAGACATGATATAATAAATATTAAAAGGCTATGGGGAATTTACAGAAAAAAATAGCAGTCTGACAATGTTTCTTTCATTCTTTTAAATGTCAATCTATTATTGAGGTCTTTTAAAGCACTAGTTTCCAGGAAGATGTCTTTGTCATTTTTTCTCTACATATATTTATTTCAAAACCAGTGGGCAGCTGGGAATATAAGAAATTTCACAAACATGGTGATCTGAAGTGAACCAATACAGAATCATAGAGTGCTGAGGATGGTCAGCACCTCTGCAGATCATGTGCTCCAACCCCCTGCTCACAAGAGGATCAGCTACAGCAGGTTGATGCATCCAATCCATGAAGTCAAAGACTCTACAACATCTCTGGCAATGTGTTCCAGTATTGGATCACTCCCACAGTGAAAAACCTTCTTCTTACGCTTAAATGAAATTTCCTGTATGAACATGCCAGTCAAGTGCACACATTTTTCTTATATTTAATTTTTTTCTTCTTTGTATCTCAGGTTTTCTCTCTTTAGCACATTTATAGAAATAATGAATGCAATACCTGAATGTTTATATTTTAAAACAGTTCCTTGACTAAATTGTTCAGATAGGTATTGCTTAGCTTTTCAAGCTATCTTTCTGGATAGAAATTAAGGACTCTTCCTTTCCAGTACTAATGAAACTGCTTTTTCATAGGTATTTTCTATCCTTAGAAAAGGAATCCTGGTGGACACTAAGCTGAACATGAGCCACCAATGTTCTGCTGCTGAAAAGAAGGTGAATGGTACCCCAATCTGCATTAAGTGTTACCAGCAGGTTTGGGGAGGTGATCCTTCCCCTCTACACAGCACCGGTGAAGCCACACCTGGAGTGCTGTGTCCAGGGCTGGGCTCCCCAGTACAACAGACAGATGGGGAGAGACCAAGAAAGGGTCACAGAGATGATCTGGGGGTCATCTCTCCTGGGACTGGAGCATCTCTCCTTTGAGGAAAGGTCAAGGGAGCTGGGACTGTTCAGCCTGGAGGAAAGAAGGTTCAGGGCGATCTTAGCAATGTGTGTAAGTACCTGGTGGTGGGAGTAAGAAGACACAGACAGGCTTCTACTCCTGGTGCCCAGGACCAGAAGCAACAGGCACAAACAGAAACACAGGAGGCTCCTTCTGAACATCTGGAAACATGTTTTTACTGCAAGGGTGACAGAGAACTGGCACAGGCTGCCAAGGGAGGCTCTGGAGTCTCCATTGCTGGAGATACTCAAAAGCCATATGGATGCAGTCCTGGGCAATGCACTCTACGTGGCTCTTCTTGAGTAGGGGGTTGGACCAGACAACCTTTCTAACTTCAGCCATTCTGTGATTTCCAAAATCCCAACCTCCCCATTTTTAACTTTGTCTTCTAAGAGGCTGGGAATTGATCCATTACATTAATCTAGTGCAGTATTATTTCCTCCCTCCTCGAGACATAAGTAGGTGAGACGCTGCTCCAGCTGGAAATGAAGCACCCTCAAACAGCAGAGAAGCAAAAGAAGGGAGAAGAATCCATTTCCTTTTGCAACACAAGCTGACAGACACTCCTGACACCACCTGAGCACCTGATCTTCTGTTTTTTCCTTTCCTGAGTGGGATGAAATACCTGTGTGCACTACTACTACTTATTCAACCACTACTCTGACCATGATGAGGTTTAGGCTTGTAACTCCCACTGAAATGAAATGAGTGCTTAGGCATTTTACCTGCCTCTGCAAGCAGCAGCATTTGACCACACCTGCAACCACCAGCGCTAACACCACCACACTAAACAGGTGCCAACACTACCACACTAACCGGGTGTCTTTCTTTTTTACATCCATCAGGCAATCATCAACCACACAAAGAATACGTCAAATACAGCAGTAATACTGCTGCAAATTTACAGCCCTCAGCATGCCAAGCAACAGATAAAGGTTAAGCCAGAAGTGCCTGCCAGTGTTTAGGTGCCTAAAAATAAACAGGCATGGCTTTCCACATACCAATCTCATGACATACCATTTTCTCTGCACTTCAGTGTGAACATGTCCCAGTCTTCATGTCTCAGAAGGAACTGGGACACTCTAGAGGGAGATCACAGACCCATTTTGTTCTGCAAATGGCACCAGTTGAAAGATCTCATATCTTGCTTTTTGTTTCATTTTGTTGCATGCAACAGGTATGACTGCTGGAGTAGCTTCACTTGGTCTGTGCTGTTGCTCATACCAAGGATAACCATCAAAATCACAAGAGTAAAATAAAAACACACTTAATGCACTTTACAGAGTTTTACACTATTCTTTGTTTTTAGTGGCTGTGGGTAAGAGCTGGTACACATTACAGTCATGACAATCCAAGGTATAGCATCTTAATCAAAAAAGAATCTGGTCACTTTGCATTTAAATTTAAGTCAAGTTAAACATCAAAATCTGCAGATGCATTGTAAAAGCAGTATATGTGCACAGAGCACTATCAACCAAAAATAAATGTATGTTAGAAGTATTCTAATGTCTGCAATAAAAATTTTAAGTACAAAAATCATGTACTACTAAACTGTTCTGCAATTTCACTCTCACTCCTCTGCTCTCATTGCAGGTTATTTCAAGACATACTTTGGTGATCAGCAAAATGACAATATGGTTGCCACTGAAATGTAACAATAGTCCTTTCCCACCCACTGTACAATGGGATTACCATGTTGCAATACACTGTGATTATGCTGCGGCTGACCGATGTGTTTAAAACTCAGTTTAATTTCTAGTTACGTTTAACTAAAGTAAATCAAAGTCATTTTCCCCTGGGCTATTTATATATTCAAGTTAATTGCAGATTTGTGCCCCTACCCATACCACCTGTAACCTTTCCCCAGGCATCTACTGTGGCTACCTTATTACTTTTGCTGCTCTTTTCCAAAATCCCTCTATGCTTTTAGGTAGTTAAGCACACAAAAATTAACAGAATTGTCTAGCAGTAGGCACACTGAACTAATTTGCCTCCTAAAAGGCAATGCTTTTTTTACCTTGGTCTCTCATTGTCACTGATGCTTTCTCCCTCTTTATTTCCTTCCTAGTTCTATTCCCTGTCAGATCCTTTGCAACATTAATGCCAACAATTATGCATAATTCAGTACCATTAATAATTTCTATTATGCTAAACCTCATAGGCTCATTTCTGTTTCAGGATCACATCATGCTGTGTAAAAACAGAAATCTACTAGCCCAAAGACTGGCATTCAATTGAGACAACATGCTACAAACAAGAAGGAAAAAAAATCTCAGCTTCACAGAGATACACAAGAAGAAAATACAAATATGGATTTGAAAAAAAACTAAGTATACACATAGCTAGGAAGAGAAATCTGAATCAGCGCTGGGATTTTTTTAATAATGTAAAACATATAAGTGAATTGAAAAGATCAGTGTTTTCACTGCCTCTCTAGCTATCAAGAGAGAGAATGTAAAGACACAGCAGCTTTATGGGGCAGTAGTACACAGAGTAGTCAGTGTATATTCCACAGAACAGGAATGCAGTGATGGTTGAGAGATGCTCAAACCTGTTACCACCATACATGGAGCACAGCTCTCCTGCCACTGTAAAACATCACAAAAATGGGCAATTAGCAACAAGGTCTTGCTGCTATGCTGACCCAAAAGACAACTATGGAAGTCAGTCAAAGAAAGTTACTGACATAATGTATGTTTCCCAAGAAAAATTACCCAACTGAGTAATTGGAAGAAAAAAAGCTGTTACTGGATGACTCGTGCCATGACATAACAAAATATTTATTCCAAGGTTAGAGACATGTTCTGAAGGTCTGTACCTCATCAATTAATACTTTTTTTAAAATTAATTAATCAATCCTGATCAAATAGAATTCAGATAGAGATTCTTTTCAGTAGCTTTAAAAGCAGCTTTCAGAAACTTGATCTGAAAGGTCTCTCACATCTCACTAAAAACACAAGTTGGACCACTTGAATTCAGTTACCAAATTTTCAGATGACAAAAATTAGTCACTCAAAGAGAAGCCAAGACAGCATGACAAAAGTGGCAAAAATTTTATTCCACCAATGTGTACTAGTAGCCATACCATTTATACAAGCTGTCATTTATTACTTTATCATCCCCTTGGAGGTAGGGGAGCTGCTGTCCCCAACTCAATTTCATGCTTTACTGCAGGTATCAACCAGCACTACTGCTCAATATCCAGACACACTTTTTGTGTGCGTCTGGATACACACAAAAGCTTTCAGCTATGAGACACACCTATTTGAGACACATTAGATCTGCAGGTCTTTGTTTCTGCAGTGCCAGCAGCAAGCCCTTTCTGTCACTGTTGTAGGTACTAAGGCATCAGCTCTTCCCCTGCTAGAAAAGGATCTTGATGCAGGTTCTTATTAAGAAGCCTGTAGATGTGACTGGCTATACTGCCTACATTCTCTTCACACAGAGTTATAGACTGGTCAGCACTACTCTGATCAAAGAGAAGAGCTGTTGTTGAATTTGCTTATTGAATTTCCAATGCACAATTTCACCACTCCAATAATTATGCCAAATCTGCAGGGCTCAGAGCAGCTGGGGGGGGCGGGTACAGTGGAAGAAAGCAGGATGGCTATGCAACAGATGAGCAAAAAGAAAAGAACATATTTGCTAGGTCTCTACATAGCTTAATTAAAAACAATTTCATAATGTATTAATTTTACTTATGAAAATTGCATCTTATGATGGAAAAATATCATTCAGAAAACTTTAGATGGCATTTATTCACACTGGAAACCATATTTAAGCAAAACTCAGAAAAAATTGCTTCAGGGAAAAAGAAACATTGATCAAACTTTTATAGCTGTAGCTTGCATTAATGAGAACATGATCCCTTATAATAAAGCAGAGATGATAAACAGCTGCAGTGCCAATATAGCTCTTGTTAATTCAGATACGGAACAAGTGCAGCCGTAACTGGTGTATGGAATCTTTGTACTCCAACAATGGTGAGCCGCTCCTCCTAGCACAGAGACATGCTGTCCATGGACACAGCATTGTGCTTTGTTCCAGCAGCCAGGCACCATGGGGAACCATGGGATGTAGAAATGGACATTGTGAACACAGGAACAATATAACCCTGGCTGCTACTACTGGTGAGGTCCAAACAATGGCACTACCTTCAGAAGAGGGTGGAGTGCTCACAGCATCATATGCTGTTCTGATGTGGCTATTGAAGGAGCCCTGGAAAAATACCATTCAAACCAGTGGAATGTGAAGTGAGACAGGAGACAATACAGCAGCACCTCAATATACAAACACACTTAAAATTTTATGTAAATATCTACAGCACCGTATTAGTTGGACCACTAAGGTCTACATGCTCCTCTAGCAATGACTAATACTTCTGGCTTAAATAGAGAAGCAAATCCCACAAGGCTATTGGATAATGTCTCATGCTGTACATGGAAATAAGCATCAGCATCACCAAAATTCAACTTACACTCTCAGACAGAGGAGACACTGAGTCCTAACATCTCAACTGTATTATCAATGGAATGCAGTGAAGATTTTATTCCCATTTTGCTTTGAAAAAGAGGGACAGAAAATTTATTCTACACATATTTTGCAAATAAAGACATTTCTAAAATAAACATGCTGCTCAAGGATATATCAGAAGAAGATTTATATACTTCTGTAATACTAAGTGCCATTCTTCCCCACACTTCCAGCTCACCATTATGCTACCAAATCTACGGCTGGCAGGTAAATTCCCCAAGAAAACAACTCTTCTGTTATTCTTCCACCTCAGCAAAATCACACACTTGATCATTTCCTGTCAGTCTGCTATGGGCTCAAAGGCTACCAGATTCTCTGCCCTGGAGCCAAGAATCCGAAAATCCAAATTCTAGCAACAGCCTCAGAGCTCAAAGTTTCCTGCATCAGGTGCAGAGACAGGGAAGAGGGCAGAGTTCTCCAAGCTTCTGGTCAAGACCTGGCAATCCTGGGACAGAAGATGGGGTGGGGACCCCATCTTCAGTGGGAACTTCCCCCACCCTTTTTGAGAAAGGCCAAAATTAAAAAAAGGAGGAATTTTCTTTCAGAGGGAAACGTAAAGATATAAAAACATAGTTTTCAGACTGAATCTCAGCACAAGGGTTTTCTTACACTGGCATTTCCCACAGAAAGAAAATGTCATGTCTTGAGAAGCTTTAACTGTAACTCATATCCTGCCAGAAGCAACTGTTTCCCAATAAGTAGGTGATTACAGGAAGATTCATCAGGTTTGTACCTGGATCTTGTTGCCATTAAAACAATACAGTAAATTAAAAAAGAAATTATTTACTGTGACATAAGCATCAAGAGTTTCATGGCTTGAACTGCTACTTCATGGTCCTTGTCCAGAGGCATGGACACAATTCGATCCTAATGGATGTAAAATGACAATAAAAAGATGTAACATGGTTTGTTCTCAATAAACATGTATTTTTGCTACAGCTAGACCATCTACACTAGTACAGCAGAGATTTATTTTTATTTCAGCAGCTATTTCCTAAGAGACATGAGGCAACTTGATTACTACCAAGTAGTTCCTCAGCCCCTGAAAATTAACAGCATGTTAATTTTTTAACTGAATTAATCATGCAGTAATATGATATTTTTTATACATGTAATGTATGCGTTCACAAGAAATTAACTACGCACTACAAATTAAAAGTGACTGACAACTTGTTTCTAAGATGTTACTACTGGCACTTCAGTATGTTAAATGAAGGTAAGACTCACATTACAAGCATTATCTAATCAGTTTCTCCCACTAACAGTAAACTACACATTACAGAAGTCAGTGCCTTGCTGAAAAGACAGTTAGACTTTAAGTCATAAAGATACCTCATGGCATAGCAGCAATATTGCTGACCTCCAGAATTCACAATATTGTAACTTAGTACACATGCAAACAACCCAAAAAACTTCCCATCCCATGAAACCAGGAACTTGCACACCTCAGTGTGGCCTATATCTTTAAGACATATTACACCTTTAGACTTGCTTGATTTGGAACTATTTTAGCTTCCCCATTTAATACATGGTTTCTAAATCTTTACATTCATTTTCCTTTGCATCTTCCTTTTTCTCACAATCCAGATGAAAGGTATCTAAATCCACAAATCCTGAGTCTGAACACTCAAGGGTAACAGAGGGAGCATGTATAACTCCTGTTTGCAGGAAATGGATTGATGGATATATGATTACACTCCCCATCACTGAGAAAGCATGCTTTAAACTTTGAAATTGGTATTTTGTGTGTAGCTGTTCAGATTTCTTTTGTTTAGTGGGGATGGAGTTGTCTTTGGGTGTGGGTTTTTTGACTGGGGGATGGAGTTAGCAATAATCCATTTATACTGCATCCTCCACACAGGGTGATAGCAGCACAATCAGCCTGGAGCTATTTCATCACTATTGAATACAAATCTTGCATTTGGTTACAGAGCTTACAGCAGTCAGAAAGATAAGGGACTACCACATAATCATTTAAAACAGGGGTCAATCTTAGCTGAATTTAATTCTGAATAATTTATTACTAAGATACCAATATTAAGCCATTTCATGTTCTTTGAGGATATGTGAAAAGCATTTTTCACTATTAGCAACTGCTTTGACACATGGGTAAGCCCTGCACCTTTTGCAAAAAGACCATGGGTTTCCTACCACATGCAGTCATTGATTTGTCCTGACACTGAATCATGTGCTGATTCACAGGGACTGAGATATCAATCACACCATCTTGAGCTTTCTTACTCAAATACTGAGAAGGTGCAACCCTGCTAGGGTAAGAGCAGCTGACAAAATCCTTAGCAAGGTCAGGGTTAAAAAAAAGTAAAGGGCTTACTTTTAAATGAGTCGGGATATTGGAATATGACAAAGGCAGAGTACAGGGTCAGTGAAGCTACAAAACAAGCACTCAAAACTACAGTGTATCACCTGATTTGTTCAGAAAGGAGATAAGGGATCCTTCTTCAAGATTCATACTGACATGGTAGATCAAGAGAGAGCCATTCCCACACCAGTGTGATACATGGACAGCCACTAACTATGAGGTTAACCCATTATCAGGGACAGCAAAGAGGATCTTTAGCATAGGAAATTATTTGTCATCTGCCAAAGATCCTGTAAAAAAACCTGGACCAATCTGGATAAATGGTGGAGATAACTGACCACAGTGCATGCTAACACCATTTTGTGTGAACTAAAGTGAAATGGAAGAGTTCATAGACACAGAGGGAAACATCCCTCCCTGCAAAACTCCATCTATTCAGTAAACAAGGCTGTTTCTGCAGGAGTCTAAGCCCTCTCAGTCAAGAGAGTGGGGAGATCAGCTCTGATCAAAACATCAAGCCCTGTGTACACACCCAACCTAGACTTAAAAAACCAGCAAACAGTAATTTACCTTGAATCTGTTAGTAAAGAGATCCATCCTGGAAGCAAGTTCTTTTCTGCTATAAATTCCCTGCAGTCCCAGAAGACATTTCAACCGCACTTCGGCTTGCTGTAAGACAAAGAGACATTGGCTAACAGTAAAATACATGTATCTTTGTTAGTCACTATCAGCATTTATATCATGTAAGTAAGAGCTCTTTGTGGGTGCCTACAGCAGACTATCCACATGCTGCCTCATCTTTATCAGTGACATCAGTACCAGTTTGTTTGTGTGTACACACGCTCATCTCTCTCTCACACACACAGAGGAAGCCTGCAGTGAGCCAAACTCAAAGGTAACATCAAAGTTTGTGCATGGCTTCCTAAGAGTCAAAGAAACTCTCACAGACCACAGTTAATAAAAGCAATAGAATGCAAAAGATACAGGGATTGTGCTATTCATGTTAAAGATACAAAGACAGGACTATGGATGGCCTACTTAGTACAACCAGCACTCTCCCATACATCAGACTTTGCCTGCTCCTTGTCAACAGCTGACTGGGACAATTGTTAAACACAGACAAGGAGTCCAAGAAATTACAGATTCCTCTAGATTCCCAGAGGAAGAGGTACAACTTAGAAATGCACTGTGCATTCTTACAGAGTTAAGCATCATGCCTTCTCCCTATTTCTGTTTTACACTAGAATGCAATATTTTAAGTATTGCAGGAAAAGGGTTGCTTTGAATTCAGCCTAATTAGTTAATTAGGCAAAATATATTTATCCATACAAGGTGTTATTTCATACTATTAGTACTGCTGCTTCATAGATGCCTCAAAAAGAAGTCTTTTCCTTAGCCAGCTTTTCAATTAGTTCACATATATTGTTACATCATTCAATGGACAAAGCTTTAAATGGAACTAGGAAAGTGACTTTGATGATCCAACATAGAAAAATCATATGTTCTGTAAATTTATAATGCTAAGCATATCAGCAGAGACACTAAGATGAACTGCAGGCTTTGAATCAGTCTCTTCATATTTCTTTCTTAATTCCTCTTGCTAACAATAGTAGTAAGAATAAACATGGAAATCCAAGAAAGGAGACCACCACCTACACACAGGCTATCCATTGCTACGAGTTCCTGTTCACCTGCTTAGATGGAAAGCCAAGGATGATATTCAGTGGCAGGCTTTGACTAACAGTTTTGTTTGTGACAGCTTTTTGCTAGAAATATAAAATGAAAGATCAACAGGTAAAAATATACACTGTTCTCTAATCTGCCCATGACACACCAGCAGGGCTTAGTCTATATTGTATTTTAAAGTCTCTGAGGAAGAGACTGTTGCCCACACCTGCTGCTTCCTACTGCCACATACTCACTCACAGACAGTGCTAAGGTGGCACCCATCACTGCACACTTGCACAAGCTCAGCTCACCCAATGTACTGCAAAACTGGCTTGGTTCTTTGGTTCTCTCGGCTCTTTCAGTTGCCCTTGGTTCTCCATCACAACACTCTCCTTGTCAATAGGGACTGAATTTGTGTGTGGGGAAAGGGACAACAGCATGCACTGGTTTGCTGAATGCTCATACAGCCCTTGGCACACGCCTAGTAATGTCACCTGGCAGTAAGGTGCAGCCAAGCGTAGGCCTGCAGACAAAGTGTAACACATTAAAGTGTACCATCTCCCTTCTGAGGTTTCTACCCAAAAGCTCCCAGTCACAACCCCACACATGTATGTTCTTTTAAGTGCTGAGAAAATTAACTCTAGTAAATAGAAACATATAACTACTCCTATGACTACTTCTGTTATTTTTCCTAAGTTTTCATCTGCATTTTCCCTGCTTCTCCTTCTCAACCACCTCCCCTTTTCTAAATTCAACAGTCCCCATAGTTTTGGAAGGACGTGAAGTAATGTTTAATGATCAAGAATATCTCCCTACCCTCAGGTTCTTTCAACAGCAGCATCAGCAAACACAAACACCCAGCCACTTACTCCCCTCATCAGAACTACCATTCTAATCTCGACAAAAAACATGCCTGTTTGCTCCTTCAAAGCTGTGACAGAGTGAAGGGGAATTATGTAAGCACATTTTCAGGATACCCTGAACACATACACTGTCCCTCAGCTGTATCATAGCACATTTTGATCCTGACCTGATGACAGAAAACATCAGTAAAGTGGTGGGCAGCTCGAGTGACCTCAGAGAGCTCTGCACAGCCTCCAGCACTGCTTGAACACATTCAGTTACGAGATTTCAGCCCCACCACTATCACAGAGGTGGGGCCATTCAATAAACCTTACAAATACAGGCTGGGACCTGGATGGTTTGATAGGACTGCTGGGTCAATGCTTCCCAGACTATGAACTGGGAAGGTCTACTTCTTAATTACTCCTACACAGCAAAGACAACCCAACTGTCATTTGAGGTAAAACAATTTTTAAAACTGCTTCCCTCCCCAGCCTCCCAAAAAAATCCACGACAATATATAGAAAACACTGCTGCCCCGGCTGGTGCTCTCGTTTTGAAATCAGACAATTTGACAGTGGCTGCAAATCACAAAGCACAGCCAGGACTGCAGCCACCAACAGTGGCACACTACCAGGTCTCAGCCAAATGTAGAATATGGAAGACACCTCACTTTATCTCTCTCTACTTGCATCTGCATTGCTTTCAGATTAAAAAAGCCTTAGGAAAATAAACCAATTATTTCCAGTTTCCAGTAAATGGCACTGGGTGAGCTGTGTGCATTAATTAGAGACACCAGCTGCTGTTAACCTTCACTGCAGAGCACTGCAAATGAAGACACATCATCTTCAAAAAAAAAAAAAATTTTTCTTTTGAGAATTCCCCAAACTGAACATGTACTAAAAAGATATTGTGATCAGATAAAATGTAAGCAGGAACAAACGACAGCTCTCGATAGACGCGCCGTCCTGAACACCCCAAGGCCCCCGTGAGGGACGGCGCACGGCGGGCAGCAGGAGCCTGGCGCGCCCCCTGCTGGCCCCGGGCAGAGTGCAGCCGGATCCCGCAGCGCGGACACCGCCCGCCCCTGGGACCAACCCGGCGGCTGCCGAGCTGCACGGGAGACACAGGCACCCTCAGAGGCGGCCTGCAGAAGTACAGCCTGTCCATTTCGCTAATCAGCCCATCCCGATAAACATTCCTATCCCCCTGAAGTCTCTCATGCTTTTTCGAAGCAAGAGAAAAAGCGTTTTTTCACAGAAGCACAGAACAAGTCAGGCTGGAAGGAACCACAGCGGGGCATCTGGTCCCTCTGGTTGGTCCACCTGGTCCAACCTTCCTGCTCAAGCAGGGTCATCCCAGCACAGGATTGTGTCCAGACAGTTCTGAACATCTCCACCGAGATGCTCACAATCTCTCTGGGCAATCTCCTCTAGGGAACAGTCACCCACACAATAAAGAAGGTCTTCCTCATGTTCCAGTGCAACTTCCTGGGCATCAGTTTTTGCCCATTGCCTCTTGTTCTACTGCTTGGTGTTTTGGACTTACTGACTTCTTTTCGTTGTTTTGCTTGTTTGTTTTAGTGGTATTTGGAGGATTTTTAAAAATGCCTCTACTTCTATACCCTTTGGGAAATGGCTGGACTTCCTGTAAATATTTGCTGTACCTAACTCCAGGTGAGAAATGCAACATTGAAGACTATTCTGCTACAATAGAATTGTAGAAGACAATATTCATTTGTTCGTTCTTTATAAATCTAAACAAAATTTTAAATGTCAGTCAAGCCTAAAAGCAGAATTTCAGTCAACATTTAACCCTCTCAAAAGATTTAAGCCATTTTACAGTTCAGAAGTAACACCCAATTCAGTGACATATAAATATAACTGCACATACAGGGATTCACACAGAACTGGAAAAAATGTTCAGTGTTATTTAGTGTTAAAATGGCTTTTAAAATATAACCTGAAATAGGGAAGAAAGTAAATTCTTATTGTACCACCAGAGTCTTAAACATCCACTCTCAAGAATTTAAATTTAAAAATTCTTTAAAAAAAATTAAAATAAAAAACTTAATGTACTGCCCTACGTAAAAAAAAATAATTAAACTTTACCTTATCATAGAGCATCCATCCAACATATTTTAAGTAGCTATCATTCAAAAAAGCATCTGGGTATGTTTTAATCCAGCTGCCAATTTCTTCAATGCAAGTTGCTCTGATCTCAGGGATAACATCACTGTGAAATTATAAAATCGTAATATTAATACATTAAAAATTAATTTTAAAACCAATTATATTATTTGCAATAGTTTTATATTCTGGAATTTCAAAAGTATGTATAATTCAAAATGTTCCAAGTATCTTCATATTAATATTATAAGTTACTCTTCAATCAGTACTTAGACTACGTTTAGCCACAAACTATTTTGCAATTCTGGATATCTTCTCATTCACAAACGCACTGCTCTACAGCCAGCAGGAAGAACTCAAAGAACACACTAGAGAGGTCCTTTTGGAAACCCAGAGTCTTAAAAATAATTTAACTGCTACACTTTCCTTTACACTATCAGTGCCTCCAGGATGTTTAATTTGATTCTCCTATCTGTACAAACTGAGCAAGAGTTTCTGGGGAATGCAGATACACATCACAGCTTTATTTTTACTCTTACCGGTAACGGTTTAGAAAAGTCCCTTTGAAAATAGCATTCATCATGTTCTGTATCTCTAGAAGCTTATGCTCATACTGAAATACAAAGAGAACTGAATGTTAATATTGGTCCCACAATTCACTACACATGAAAAATTTTCATCAGGGCCCTTGGAATACTACTGTGATGCTAACTGCTGGTGTTTACACGTGGTACCAACATAAAATGAGGGGTCTGTATCTGCACTAGCAACTGGCCTTTTTGTGGCTACATCCTGAGGAAAGATTTATTGGATACCAACTGCTAGCCTTGGGAAACAAGCTACTTGTTTGATACAGTGAGTCTTGATCTATCAGAAATCACACAGAAAGATACAGCACAACTATTAAGCAATCCTCACATACAGATCCAAATTCTCTTTTCATGTACTTGAACAGAGATATAAAAAAGACAGACAAAGAAATTTTCAAAATACACAATGAGCCTATTAAAAAACTGAATCCTGAAAATGTAGGTAGGAATTTCTGAAAATCCAAGTCACCTAATAAAAATATTCTCTCATCAACAGCATCAGGGAGGGCAACAAGTTTGGGTTTTCCCTCCAACCCACTTCCTCTGTCTGTCATAAGACCAGGCTTACAATGGTACTAAAATATCCTGTCTCACCCAAACACTCCTCCCCACAAAAAGGGTATTGTCTCAGAAAAGCCCACAGACACCTAAAACTCAGAACAGAGATATGTGATTCTAAGGTCAGGAGACAAGGAACTATACCCGATGTTCATTCACCAAGTCACCCTCTACCTCAAGCCAGAGTTATTTTTTACAGTTATAACTCTGCCTCTGGGAGTTGAAAATGAGCTGTCTTTGAGCAGGGAAGAAATAACAGAAACTGAAAAGCAAAAATGATACAGGACATCCCTGAAGTTCAATTCATTTTTGTAATGCATTACTTACACAGAGATGACACTTAGCCTGTGTCCCTTTTGATTCATTGCTGAAACTTGCGCTTGTAATTTGTACAAACATACACAAAACTGCGCTCCCACAACACCAGAGCTACTGAGACAATTAAATTTGTGTGTAAATCCATATTTGTGTGAAGATCAAGGGCTAATGACACCAATTTCGAAAAGCAACCAGTAGGACAGACATCACAGGTCAACAGTACATAGGGCAGTTTTAACCTTAGTCATGCTTGTACCACTTAATCCAGCCAGTCACACCTGCTCTGCACCATGCATTAGATAAACACATAAACCTCAAAGAACTCCAGGGACCCAAAAGCAAGCAGCCAGCAATCCTTTTACACCTTCACAAATCTCACATACAAGACACTTCCCTAACCTCTTTCCTTTTTCTCTCTAGCTGATCAAGTCTGTAACTGGTCCTCTTGCCACTTAGCCTCTTCTTCTCCACCTCATACAATTTTTGAGCGTTGTGCTTGTTGACATCAAGGTTCAGATGGACGCTTACAACTGCTGTGAGAAGTTTCATTGCTAAAAAAGAAACAGACCCAGCACAATTAGCTTAGCTCAGAGATATGCAGCATAAATATACTCACCACTTTACCACAAAAAGGATATGGTTAGCCAAATCCAGTTTATATCGAAAATATGAACACTACCAGATTATAGTAATTTGCTTTAAAATACAGTGTTTATTTTAAAGGCAGATTATCATCAAAAAGGGAAAATTAACTTCTATTTCTGGTGATTTAAAACTTTTGGTCAGAGTTCTAATCAGAGAAGTAATTTACTGGGCAACGCTCTTGTAAGTTTATGTAACTCTGACATTTCTGAAAAAGAATCTAGAATTGTGGAACAGCTGATTGTTGGTAACCAAAAAGAAAAAACTGAATAAACAGTGAGGCTGGCTCAGAAATTGCTGGGAATCTTAATACACTACTGGAATGGACAAAAATTTACATTCCTTTAAGGATTGCTGGATGGTTTGAACAGATTTAAAGTCAGTTTTTTTGAGCCCTCAAAGCAAACAGCATACTTTAGAATAAATTATAGTTTCAGTGCTCTTTGCATGGCAAAGAGGGTATTTACTGGCTTTAGGGGGAAAAAGCAGTAGCTTTAGTACCATCACACTGCATAAAATAAAAATGTGTAACAAGCAACATTTTTTTTTGCACAGAGACCACAAGAATAGCAGTTCTCCAAAGGAAGCTTCTAAAGGTGAAGCATCTACTCATCACATTAGTTAGTGGAAGGAGAAAAACAACAAAATAGAAAACTGTGAAAAATCAGTTACTGAAAAATATAATACTCAGAACAGCAAAATTCTGAACTCAGTCATGTCAGGCATTAAAGATTTCTTTATAAAGAAAAAATTGTGTTAGATCTATCATATCTAAGGCATTCAAATTCAATTCAGATACACGTGGGAACAAACAGTTTATATTACAGACATACTAGGAGGAAGGTACACTCAGTGCATAAGAGAACTGCTCCAGTAAACAGTTTCTCAATTTAGAGCAGTTTTGTTAGTACACAAGTCAATATACCTCAGCACCTCTAGAGCAACTCTGCAAATGATTTTTACCTGCTAAAGTGCTTGTGTGCCTGAATGCTCTGACCATGGAATCTGCTAACCCTGTAAGCAGCGAGATGATGGCGTCCATCAAGTAGTTATCATACAGGATGCTGCACTGGCACTGCTGGACAAGCACTGCAATGAATTCACAGAAATTGGCCTTGAACTTCTTCCAATAGGGTCCTGTTCTGATCAGTGGGTAGTCTTCATTGTCCTGCACAAGAAAGATAAGTTGAGAGAAAACACACTAATTAGTTCTGCTTGTGCATACCCATCTCTCCCAGTGAACATCAGAGAGTTTTGCTGACAGACAGTTTCACTTCATCCCCTGTAACTTTTTTCATTGTTAGTATTCCAAAGTAGGGACAAGCAACTAGGATACAAGCAAGCAGAGAGACAAAATAGCTTTATTTGAGCTACACTTGTCATAACAGCTCACTTTTGAAAGCAATGTAAGCTGTGAACAGACAGGAGAGAGAAAGTATGTGAAGGCAGAGCAGAGTGAGTAACTTTCACTGGCATAAACCATGAGCACTCCTGGCTTATTCTACTTACTCACAGGCAGCAGTGCTTCCCCACTTCCCTTTCCTTCCTCTTCCTGCAAAATTATGGTAAAATCCAGGAAGAGAATGAAGTGAAAAGTGGAGACAAACAACTGTGGTGTGAACAGGACAGGACTGTTCTCAGCAGCACTGCCAGCTTGAGCAGTTTATCAGGCTAAAGCTTAATGACAAATACTCAGCCATTCACCTACACCATCTGCACCTGGGTCTCCAAAAACCCCCACAGAAACGGTAAGTGGGCAATACTTTTGACATCATGCAAAAAGCAAACTACAATAAAAACATGTGTCCACAGTATGGTTGATACTGCCAGGAGGAAAGGAGACAGAGGGAAGGTAAAATGGATTCTCCCACAAAGTAGTGGAAAGCACACTAGACAGACTTTGTAAATAGCAGCCTCAGACAGTGTAAACATTTATTTCAGGTACATCTCACAGATCCCAAGAATGACTCAGAATATGAATTTGCATCTTCATAGTTTCCATGTGTGAGTGGAGTCAAGGAACTCCAAAACTTCACTCACTGTGGAAAACCTCTTCCTGAAGGCTGGTCACTGCTCAGCTGGTCCTTCATCAGTGGGCAAACACCTTCTCAGCCACATTCTAACATAGCATCACACTCAGCATAACCTCCTGTGCTTGTAAAGTACACCCCATGCTCTTCTCTTGTAACTATCTTTCCAATGCATAGGGGTTGCTGCTTTCTTTAATGAGAAATGCGAATACAGGATGATCATAAGGCTGGCTGCAACCCAAAGCACATCAGGAATTTGGAATATGCTCCTGACCAGGTTGTAAGAGTCAGTTCAGAGCCTAACAGCAGCAGCAAGTGCCAAAACACAAAGGGAGGTTTCCAGCAAGCCTCATTTAATGCTCCTTGATCATGACATGGACAGTAGAAAGACCATCTACAGCTTCAGGAAATACCTACTTTATCATCATAGCTTACTTCTCAATCCGAAAAGCAGCACAAAATACACAAAGACTTCTCACTTTTTAAGAGCATTTCTACTGCCCATGTTTATCACACTGTGATACTCTTTAATGGTAACATGCACGCTGTAACCATATACAACATGGAGGGCACACCACCTAAATTCAGGCACCAAACCTGGGATTCCCTTACATTCCTTTCATAACCACTAGAGAAATAACTCTGCTTCCAGAAATCAAGTCAGATTAGGCCCTTAAGACAGGTTCTTCCAGAGAACTATTCAAATCACCCAACAGAGTGATATGAGCTCCTGCTCTGACTCAACCAGGAAACGTTTCCTTCTTTCATACAGAATCTATGGAAAGAAAGTCAAAATAAAGTGCCAACAAGGAGTTCAGATAAATTCCCCACAGAATTTCCACAACTGTTGTGGAAAACTACAACAGCCCTACCATGTCCACCGGCCAAGTAACTGTCAGGATCCAAGGATAGGCCATGAATTTCTTATACTGCAACCCAGTTTCCTGTAATGCAGGAGACAAAATTTTGAAATCTTGTTAATGAAATGGCACAGATAATTCATAGGCAAAAGCATTACAAAACATGCAACATATTTCAAAGGCCATTAGAATTTCAGCCAATGTGTGCTACAGGTGGCCCACACAAGCCAAAATACTACAAAAAAAACTAAATCCTTCTCATCTGGGTTCTGTTGTTTCTTTGGGTTTTTTTTAAATAACCCGATGACAGAAGACACACTTTTTATATAAAACCTGAGTTGTCTTGTTACTAATAGAAGACAACTTGTTTTCAAAATTTAGAAGCAAACATATACAAGGTATAACCCTCATTATAACCCTTTAAGATAAGGCTCCTCAGCAAGTCTAAGTACATAACCCTTTTCAACATTTGGTACCTAGATGTAAAACATCTAAACCCTAAAAAAAAAACTTTCTGAGCTTTTCAAATGAGAGAATAATATTTTCAGCACTAGTGTGACTTGATTCAAGATGTTTTCTCAACTCTGCAATTATTCCAAAACAAAATGTATTAAATCTAGAGCTCTTTATCAGGTTCAGTGAAGCACAAGTATTTCTATCCCCATCTAGCTGTACAGTTCAGCATCAAAGTTAACTCTTCCCTTCCTAAATGTATAAGCAACAAAATGGGAAAGAAAAGAAAAATTACATAAGAGCAAAGAACTGCAAGAAGCAAATGCCACAAACAGGAACAAAAGTAGAAGAAACAGATGATCTTAAAATAGAAGAAAAACAAAAAGTGGAAAGACAAGACTGCCTCATCACTGAGGAATACTATGGCTCACAAAGACAAAATAAATGCCTCAATGACCATATTAAAGCCATTCTCTACTTCCAACATCAGTACAAGTTTTCACAGAATTACAGAAATTGAGAAGGACTCTTTGAGATCATCTAATCCAACCCCACCTGTTCAAGCAAGGTCAACCAGCATAGGCAGCCCAGTGCTCTGTGCAACCAGCACTTCTCCCAACTCCTGGAAATGTGGTTAGCATAACTAACGCAATTTTAAGAGGCAAGCAGCCCTTCTCTGTGACCAAGCAGGTCACATATTCATTCCCTTTCCCTCATTACCAGGCCCTGAAGGTTCTGTGAACCAAGCAGACAAATCAAACAGATTAACTTTCCTCCCTCATAGCCTCAGTTCCTGGGCACCAGACCTTCCTGGTAGGTAAGGACCTCCTTTCCTTACCTACCCTGTAGGTCTCAGGCATTCAGCCAGGCAGGCCGTGGCAATAACCCAGTCAGAGAACAGAGAATCGTCACAGCACCCAGAGCACTGTCAACAAACTCAAGGTACTGCAAGGTCTAAGTGGTGAACTCTGACCAGAACTCCTGCTGGACAGTAAGACTTGAGCTTATAGAAATCCTGTACCGTTTTAATCATAAATTCTGGTCTATACTAATAATAACATACTGTTAAGAAATAAAGCTTTAACTACAATTGGTGCCATCATCATTCTGTCAAGGATCCTTCAAAGTACATGTCTTTTCCCTCACTGTCAGGTGATGCCATGAGCAGTCAAATAATATCTTCAGAGACTCCACAACCTCTCTGGGCAACCTGTTCCACTGTTTGACCATTCTCTCAGTAGAAGTTTCCTTGTGCTCCGGTAAAATTTTGTCCATTTTGGTTTGCGCCCACTGGCCATCTTGGCTTGCCTTTGTGCTCACCATCTCACTGCACACCATTGAGTAGAGTTGTGCTTCCTCCTTGTCCTTATGTCACATTAGGTATTTTAACACATGGGCCAGATTCCTTTGAGACAGCTTCTTTCCAGACTGAACAAGCTCAACTCCCTCAGCCCCTCCCCACATCAAAGATCATAAATCATCTTTGTTGCCCTTTACTGGCTGGCCTCACTCCAGCAAACCCATCTCTCTCTTGTTCTGTAAGGTTCAGAACTTGACTCAGCACTCCAGATGAGTCTCAGTAGTATGAGCAGAGAGGAAAGATCATCCCCCGCTTGTTCTGTAAGGTTCAGAACTTGACTCAGCACTCCAGATGAGTCTGAGCAGAGAGGAAAGATCATCCCCCATGACCCGCTGGCAATGCTCTGCCTAATGCAGGCCAGGAGGTTGTTGGTCAACTTTGCAGCAAGGGTGCGTTGCTGGCTCATGTTCATGTTGTCACCCACACCAAGATCCTACACAGAAGAGCTCCTTTCCAGTCAATCAGCCCCCACTGTGTAATGGTGCACAGGGTTATTCATTCCCAGGTTCCTAGGGCTTTCTGCTGTAATACTTCGTGAGGTTCCCCACTGCCAAACCCCAGTCTATTGAGGGTCCCTCTGAACAGCAGAACAACCACCCGATTTGGCAGCTGATCTTCCTCGTTTTGCATCATCTGAAAACTTGCTATGAGTAAACTCTGCCCCAGTGTCCGGGTCATTATTAAATATGTAAAATAGCGTTGGCCCCAATATCAAACTGGGGTACAGCACTAGTGACTAGCCTCCAACTGGACCTTTTGCCACTGATCATTTCCCCACAGGCTTGGCTGTTCCACCATTTTTCAGTCCACCTCACTGACCACTTAACTAACTCATACTTCACCACCTTGTCCATGAGGATGTTAGGAATTCTTTTCTTGCCATACTGAACTCTATTAAACTGAACTCTATTAACAATTCCCACTAACATTAGTAAGAATTCTAGGAGGAAGCATTGGTACTGCTGCAATTAATTAACTGAACAGCAACAACATGGTTGAATCACTGAAATCATCACGAATGAATCCTCTGAATGCTAGAAACAAATAAATATTCAAAGGCAAGATGATACTGAGCAAATATCTGACAATATTTTCCACTCTTATTACTACTTTCACTGTTACTGTCATTACTTTTTAAAAAATGCTTTTGAAATCCCAGTAGTCCCATATGGCACTCCTCAACTAACTTCAACCACTAACTTACAATTCCATCTTATTTATGAAAAAGATAAGAGAGAACTTACTTTCTTTACAGAGCATGGAGAAGACAGCTTCTAAGACAACTGCAGAGCCTGCCTTCCTGCCCATGAGGACAGGTGAAAAGGTTACAGAGCTGTAATATTTTCCAGGCTGATGGTAAAAATAATCCCATCTTTGTATTGGCCAGAGTGCCTGCACTATCATGAGTGTTATTCAAGGCTGATTTAGTTGGCAAAGAAGTGCCAGACTACTAATGCATATGGCCAGACACATACAGGTTCATTTCTGTCAAAAAATTAGCCCAAGTGCTACTACATTTCTAAAATAAAGAAAACCATGTAGAAAAATTCATCCTCTGTGGGAATTTCTACAGCAGCTTGTCTTTGAGAGATGCTCAATTAAAACAAGGCTGATGGCTGCTGCTTGACAAATCAATTCAGAAGTGACAAATATAGAGGAAAAAAGCATGGAAGCAACTGTGAAAGCACTACAGAAAATTTAATGTTGCCATAATTATTCAAGGAGCAGTCAAGCAGTGAAACAGCATTGTAAAGCTATTTGCTTTTCTTAACAATCCACAAGAAATTAAATACTCACTACTGTTTTCACAATTATCTAACAATCTGAAATGCATTTTTCATCTTCCATATGACATAATACAGTTATTACAAATCATAATTGTCAGTAAAGCAGAAAGAACATTTTCAAATAAAATATCAGCTAAAAATATCTTTTAATTAATTCAACAGTAATCCATATTAGTATTTTTTAAAGGACCTGTCAACCAAATACCAAAGGAACCACTTACCTGCTGCAGTGCTGGGCTGTATCTACGTCTATAAAGTCATTATCAAAAGAGCCTCTAAGAGAAAGATTCAGGAAGGCTGCAGTCAGACAGCCCTAATAAAACTCTCAAAAAAAAAGTTACTTAAAAAAAACATATCCTGCTGCTGCTAAAATGGGTCATTACAACAACAAATTTCTCTTGAAAAAAAAAAAAAACAGGTTTATTTTACTAAATTAATGAAGTGGTACGGAGCTCCTAATAAGCAACAGGAATTCCACCCAGGTTGGCTGTTAAGGTAGAGCCTATTGTTTATATAAAAAATACATGAAAAATCAAAGTAGTACCTACCTTATCAAAGGTCTCTGTCATTTTTTGCATGATATCTTTCTTGTACAAACTTTGAAACATCTCTGCTGTTACCATGCCTAAAAAAAGTAGCATTTTTAAAAGAATTACTGACAACTCTGTAACATTAATCAAGTTCAAACCACAGTAAGAAGTTTATAAATTTAGAAACACTGAAGACAAGGGAATTCTGTTTTATGCACGTACACTGGTACAGGCAGCATATACGTAAGACACATAAATTAATTGATAGGAAAAAGTATTGATGAACCAAAACTGAAATTCCCATTAGAGAAGTCTGCTCTGTGCTGTCTGGAAAGGCTATTTTCTCTGTTCATTCATTTACTTCAAGGATTGACTAAAATTTTGCCCACAGGTCAAAACTAGTGAAAAAACCCCAAAGTATTTCTCGTAAGAGAGGACATAATAGTCAAAGACCTAGGGAAAAAAAAAAAAAAAAAAAAAGACATGTAAAAAGTACATTTCTAGCTGCTTAAATACACTCAGAAGTTTCAAACCAACAGGACAGTCTTCTTAAATCTCTTACTTGCTATCCTGAAGAATTCCACTAGTAGACTGTCCCCAGAAGGCAGTGCTTCAAGGTTTGTTATGAAACAGACAGCTTCATAACTCTCTAGTAAAAGCAACTGCAATGAGGCAAGAGATTGCTTTTCTAGCCACCAAAGCAGGGAGCTGAATTTGCTAGCTGCTTATTTTCAATCAAGGATACTAGCAAAACAAAAGATACCAAGAAATATAAAACAAATGCCAACTGAAACACTGGATTTTAATTAGAACACTCATCAAAAGAACTGTCCCTAGGTAAGGATTCTCCAAAGCAATGTGACATGCCACTTCAGAAACCTGACCCTGCAAACCTTGTTCAAATATAACTCTCAGAGCTGGAATGCTGTTAGCACAAAGAATTTAACCAGCAGCATTCTCTTCTATTTCGCCTGGCCATCTGGAGTTTGTCTTAATGAACAGTACAGATCATAAGCTCATGATTTACTGCAGAGAAAAACTCCATTTCAAAAAGCACACTTCAGACTCCTCTCACACACAGACAGTGGAAGGGGCTGCAAAGAAGGTAAATTACCTTGACAGCCTGAGCACTGAATGAAGAAGTTGATGAGATCCAGAAGTGCCACATTCCTGTCTTGTTTATAAGCTTCAACCCAGCCAACTACTACAGACTAGAACAGATTAAAGAAGCTCATTAGTCAGGAGATGAACACAGTTTGTTGCATTCCACTGAAGATACCCACAATAAAGACAAAAACTAACACTGCTCCATCTCCATTAAATTACAAAATGAAGAATAAACTCCAAGCAATTCTCTTCCATTTCTAGTAGTTCTGAAAGACTCTTTCAAGTCTTAAACTGCTTTAGACAATGTTGTTTTTCACAGATGCTTTGCTTCCTGTTAACAGGGAAAATTACCAGTTTTAATATAAAGAAAAATAAAAGAGTTGTCCTCCTGAGTTCTTGATTGCACTGAGGTAACAATTTAATTTTAAAAAAAGGAAATAAACACAAAACAACAAAAAATCAAAACACACTTTTAACCTCTGCACCATCTAATAATTAGTATTAAATCCTACCAGCAATTACCCTGGCAGTGCTCTTTTTCCTCTAAGACTTGATTTGTGCAGTAGGTTTGAAACAGTTCACATACTAACATAAGCAAAAAAACTACTCCAAATTTCATTTCTAGGGCAGTACAGCCTACAGCCTGTATGTGACACTGGTCTCCTGGGACAAGCCATCCAGGCTTCAACCCCACCAGTAGTTCCACAGAGGTCTAATAAATTCCAGCAGCAACAGAACTCAAGCCCTGTTGCCTTTCCAAGACCCTCCCATGACGGCTGGCACAGCAGAAGCCAAGCTCTTCAGGAAGCTCTACTGAAATTACCCCAGCTGTAGCACGAGGGTTTCACACCCAAAATATAAATGTACTTTTCATGCATGTGTGCACATACACACACACTTTGCTTACAGACACTACACACTAGAGACATACCTACATAAAAACATTTGGGGCTCCAGATTTTCATACACATATACAAAGATAATATATACATGTGCTCACAGAATATGGGGAGGTGGGCTTCCTCACACTGAAGAAAATTGCTAACTCTACAGATGAACAGGGAACCTGGCTATTATACAACTGCTGGCAAACTGCATTGGAATGAAGGTAAAAGATTAATAGTACAACGCAAGCACAGGGGGAAAAAAAAGAAGAAAAAAGAAGAAAAAAGAAGAAAAAAGAAGAAAAAAGAAGAAAAAAGAAGAAAAAAGAAGAAAAAAGAAGAAAAAAGAAGAAAAAAGAAGAAAAAACCCCCTGAGTTTTCAGAATTCAGGACAACTAAAATTTGCTATTGATGAACCTTTTCCACATTTTTTACAATAATTATCTTTTTGTATGTTAAGGCATTGTTTTAGGAAGACTGGTTTAGGTACAATTTCCTTCCTCTTTTTAAATATCTGACAGCTACCTCTTCACTAATTTCTTGAAGCTGCAAGATGTTCTTTCCAAGAGCCACACTCACAGCAGTTTTCCAATCAAACATGTTTCTTCCACAGCTAACCCAAAATTTAAATGTTCCACAGTACAAATAACGGAAATGACCACTGTTTATTCAACTTCCCTCCACCAAGTGCTTTCAGAACTCAGTGCTGGGAATACCTGCATGGCCTGCTTCCCCATGCTAACCACTTCAAACAAGGTAACTGCCTCAACCACTTCTCCATTCTGCAGCTGGCTCACTCTTCTGCTAGCGGGAGAATTCCTCCTTATGTTTTCGCACTGCTCTCGGACCTTCCGCTTCTCTCTCTGAAACGAGTCACGTAAACACAGTATGTGAGAAAACACAACACACAACAGACATTGACAGATACAAGTTTATTTTGCTCTTACTGCAATCGCTTCCCCAGGCTGCTCAGTTTTATGCCCCATGGACCCCAACAATTCCTTACCAAATACGACCATACTAAAAGAGGATGAAAGTAAGGATTTACCAGTTTGTATTTTACTCTTAACAATGAGTCATAAGCATAGGATATCCAACAGGAAAGAAGTTTTTGTACAGCTGCACGCTACCCAGAAGGCTGTTTTCAGTGGCAGTTGTCATTTCTGAAGAATAGAAAGCAAGCACAGAAGCTCTTCTACATCTTTTCCCTCACAGGTTAAACTCACTACATGCAAATTAATATCAGCTGCACACAAAGTACAGAAAAGAAGAGCAATGTTGAAATGAACTGACCACTCAAAAGCCAGCACTGAGGTTCTGCTGCCAATGGAATTTGAGGGTCAAGCTGTATCCAGTGACCAGCTTCTGTGATGCACTGTGACTGCTGCATGCAATACTCAATTTTGTAACAACTGAATGAGACACAATAAACTCCACAATTTAAAACAATTAAAAGTTGTAAAAGCTTTAAAATTGACTTACTGGTGTTTTCAGGTTGCCATTTCTCACACAGGTGCCATTCTGAGCAGGAGACTCGGGCACTGTCTCATCATGGACAGCATTCTCTCTAAGGTGTAACAAACATTGAAGGAGTTAGCAGCAAGCACTCAGAACTACACACTTAAGGACAAAGTCAGAAGAAAATAAAAGCAAATACATGCATTTTAGTATTTTTAATTTGTTGTTTGGAAGCAGTGACATTTTTCCACTAAAAGCCAAACAGCTAACTTTAAAAGTACAACAGAAATCTGGGGCCTTTTTCAGACCACTGGCTTTCCTGTAAGATCTGCAGGTAATTAGAAAACCAGCAAAGCTATCAAAGGTATCAAGGAAGTGTAAAGTAAGTAAATGAAACAGAAAGCTGATGTTTACTTAATGCAGCCTTTGTTGGCTTAAGAGCTTTGCACCATGAACCAATAACACAAGTAGGCATTCACCCTGTGGGTGCCCTAAGCTAAACAAGGCAGTAACATTTGATGTGTTGACATTTTAAAATGAGAGGAAGAAATTGGCTTACTTTGTTTATAAAACATGCTGAAGAAAAAAGACACATAAAAAACTTCATTTTCATGTCACTGCTAATATCATGGAGGAACAATTGTATAAAGAAAGGTGCACCTTCTGGGAGAGCTGAAGCCATACATTTATCTGCAATGAAATCATGCCATTTTTTCATAATTCCCAATGCTAACAATGTGCTTTGCCAAAGGTCATGTCTGAATAGACAAGCTGGATCCCACTTGTGCAGCAGGTCCAGTACTGGAAGCTGGCTGCAATGGCCTCCTTCAAACTACGGTGGCCAGGACATGAAGCCAGCTGACTTGTACTACAGGAAGGCACAGAAAGAAAGTAAATATGGGAGTATACAATTACTTCTATTTTCATGATACCACTGCAACAAGAGAGTGTACTAACACAAGTGACCACTTTACACCCAAAAAAACCAGTGTGTTACACTACCAGATACAGTCAACTCCCCAGTATCCAGTGCTGGCTAACACAGATGGAGAATTAACTGTTCTATGGATGCAGAGCCAGCTCAACTCCACCTAGGTTTATCAATGCCAGATAAGCATTTTTATCATTCTTCTTCCCACAATTGTTTTGCAAAGCAAATTCTGAGACTGAATAGCATCAACTGCAGGACCAAGGTCCTGACATTATTTTTATTGGATTTTTAAGAGCAGATAGGTTTTATTTAAACATCTCTCTGTTCACTTTTTTGATCTACTGAGACATTTCAAGAAGTGATGTAGAATGAGGCTTCCAAAGACTCCTATGAAAATTCTATATAAATATAAAATTGCAAAAAAATATATAAAATTTCTAAATACAATTATGCATAAGCTTACCTCCCCTACAGAGAAATGTCCCATGAAAGTTAAATTCCATTAATTACTCATTATAGAAAAGTTCAAAACATGTCACAGTGTTTGACAGCTTATACCACTGTCAATCCTTATACCAGCTGTCTGGACTTCTGCATGTGAAGAGTGGGATAAACTATTGCTCTCAGCTGAGTCAGCGTTCTATAAACAATCATTCACAAAAGTTTTCAATCGTCTTCTCTGATTTAAAATTGCGAGCTATAGAGATTAAGTAGCCCAAATACTACCAGAGACTTCCCAGCTGAAAAGAACAAACAGCAAGGGACAGCAATATGTATTGCTTTTCTGATGCCAGTTTGCTCTTCTCAGATCCTTCTACAGACCACAAAACCAAAAAGAATCCAAACATGTTTGGCAAGGAGCTGTTTCTCCTATGTGATTAAATCTTTTCACTCTTGATTTCAAAGCAGAATGCATCACTGTGGGGCTGGACTAACAGGTTCTTACTTGCACTGTTTCACAGAACTACAACTCAGGTGGCAGCCAACACTGCAGTAATGTGGGTAACCAGTTTCTGCACTGTACCTCAACATAACACTCAACACACCTTCAAAACCTTTTCTGAAGTGTTTACAAGTACTATTTAGCAACTTACTCCATCCCAGAATGAAGATAAATGCACTGCATTTGATTATAGCAACTAATTTTGAGTCCAAGTAGGTTTAAATCATTTAAATAATTCAAAAATCAGAACTGCCACAGGACAGTTCCATCAAGGACTTGTCTGATCACGTTCTGCTTTTAGTAGCTCTGTCTAGAACATACTTCTTTGAAGGTTTAATTCACGCCTCTCTTTCCCAAGAACATTCTGAAGGACAGCTCTCTGGCCTTGTGCTACTTGTTTCATTTCTTATGCCTGACAAAATGTACTTGTAGCAAAAGGGGCCCAATAAAGTAAAGAAATGCCTGGCATATGGAACAGCATGTTATCAAGGCTCAGCAAAATCTCCAAGAGTGGGAAGACCACAGACCTACAGTTCCCTCATGCTGGGCCAAACAAAACATCTCTAGGGTGAAAGTTGTTAGAGTACCTGTTACACATGCAACTAAACATCTATCTTAAGCACTTATCAAATTTAAGCACTAAATACTAATAAGCCATTTCGTTTCTGAACTGAACTGGTTATCAGTACATCACAGCACAGCACATAGCTATGCCTTGGGAAGCACCAGGCAACAACAGACAACTTATACAAAAGTAGAGGGATTTTTTTAAATCCAGACACTACTAATATTCATGTTTCTCCTTTCCCTCTTTTTTTTCTTTTTTTTTTTTAGCCTTTAATACTGGTGTTTCCAGTAAGGCCATTCATAAGGCAGGTACAAACATTTGCAGAAACTAGACCAGCACCTAGAAACTGAACCCCATGAAACCACTGAGCAATTAAATGAGATATTTAAATGGAGCTTTCATTTGCACAACTACATTTCTGTTGAAGAAACTGTTAAAAGAATTAAGACATTGTCTTATCTTCTTAAGCAAAAAATAGGTATTACTGTACCTAGCTGGGGCAAGACATGGGGGTCACTTCTGCAGCGATCCCAATACATATCTCCATTTAACATCTCAACTATAGGAGTGCAATGGTAGGTTTGACAAATTTTGAACTAGCTGGTTTTTTTTTCGTCCCTTTGTTATTCTACACCATGTTGAGCACTTCTGCATGCATACATTCACTGTTTCATGCACTGGAAGAAACAGCTCTCAGCCCTTTAGTTGCTTCCATCAGCAGCGAGTAAGAAAGCACAAGCAGAATGCCATTTCTATTTCCACCTTTATACTCTGTTATGTATGACTCAGAGACTCATTTTTACCTTACTACGTTCCTGCCACAGTATTATCCTTTCACCAGCACTTGAAGTGTTACTGATAAGATAAAACACTTGAAGTACGAAGGAAGCCAAGTCCCACATCTAACCCTCAGACACAATACTACTGTGATAACTCCTGAATTCAGTTTTCTTATCTTAATAAACATTTAGAATAGATTCACTTGAAAAGAAAACTACCTCTACCAAGGAGGCAATATATTCCTTTTGCTATGTAAAAGGAACAATTAATCTATGCTACAGAAAGAATCCCACCTGCAATTCTTTTAAATTATAAATTTCAAAACAACTGGTTCATCTATTAGAAGCGATATAGGAAGCTCCACTAAGCAATTGCCATGTGCCTGCCTAACACTTCTGAAGGTAAAAGGCTGGTTTCAGATGAAACATACTGCAATGGACATATGGGAATACACACATGTCATCATGGGCTACAACTCTCAGCTTTCAATAGAGCATAATGAAGCAAAATACATGGAGCAAATGGGCCCAGAATGTGACAGGATCAGAAAAGACTGGGCTGCAATGAGTTCAAAGCACACGACAGTGAACATCTAAGAAGTATCACCCTCTGAAACCAAACAAGAAATGCCCAAATGTTGTAACTTTACCTTTTATTTATTTATATTTATTCTAGTAGAACTTCTACTTGCCATTGTGTAAACGATGATATGAACACTTTAGCTCATCTCAATAGATGACTAGAAATACATTATAATAAGGGAGAAGACATGATGGATCCCTGATAAAAACAATACAAAATATATAGAAGCAATGCCCCCATCAACACCTACAGGGAGCTTACAGATTACTTAGCACTCTTCCCCCTCAGCATCCCCAAATTCTGCAATGAATGGAACACATGCACTGACAATGAATCTGCTCCTTTTTTCTTGTAAAGTAGGGTGCACGTTAGCACTGTGGTGAATAAGGCACAGAAAAGCTTGCGAAGCCAAGCTCCCTGTCAAACAGCATAAAACGCTACATTGAGGAGACGCTAACTAGTACATGAAATAAAATGAAGATATTCGTAACAAAGCACAATGCACAGCAAACCTCTTTTTTCCCCTTTCCCCCCAAGATGACACACTAGAGATTGCCGCGGTGTCTGCACGGCACAAACCCAAGGGACAGCACCCGAATTTACCAGCAGATTTTGCAGGCAACCTGTGCCAGGTCTTACTTTTGGCTGGGAAGGTTACTGGCTGCGTTGGGCTCGGCTATCATTTCCGCCACATTATTTCAGCAGCACAAACAAGCTGACACGACCTTCTGAGGAAACTTCACCGAAATCGAGAGTGTTTAAAACTTAACAACCCTTCGGCTTTTGCGGGCGGAGCAGCGGCCGAAAACTGTCAAGAAACGCACACAAAGAGACTTAATTCCAGGCAAACCAGGGCAGAAACAGCTTCCCCTCCATCCCCCGCCCGGCCGCAGAAGAGGGTGAAACAGAAAGAAATGAATCCTACCGACAACGCCGCAGTCCCTCCCGGGCGCTGCCCAGCGCGGCCAGCCCGGGCCCGGCGTCAATCACGGCGGCCGCTGGGCCCGGCAGGGGCGGGGAGCGCTGTCACATGGGCGGCGGCGCCGCTTCCGCAGCGGCCGGAAAGACGCGGCCGGTGACGGTCCCTGCCCGCCGCCCGGGCCCGGCGGTGCCGATGGGGCCCGGCCGCCTCTCGTGGTCGCTGCTGCTG